ATGTGTCTCAAATTAGGTTATTGTTTTGATAAAATTTTCAATCGTTAAAATTCAAAGAGCCTTAAGGTCATAATGGCGCAAAAAAAAACGTCAATGACTTGTAGTTTCTAAAGTGTATTTTATTTTTTAGAGTTCCTAGTTTAGTGAATAGTTATTATCTTGTTATAGTGTCTGCACACTCGAGCTTGCGAGTAGTGTATTAATACGTGTTCGTTAAAAATGTTCACATATTAAGTGGTATTTTCGCTGTGGTCACGATCTGTAGCATTGGAAAGTTCAAAGCATCTGTTCTCTTCTTTATTTGTTGCTAGCAGTTGTGATTTATTAAGCGTCCGTGGCTGAGTAGTTAGTGCGTGAGATGCATATTATCTTGGTTGCAGATCGAATCCGAGACGTTGCCGAATTTTGACTTACTCGAGGCTTATTTCTATTTTTTGTTGCTCTTTATAGAGCTGATTTTTGTGTTCTCGCTAGTGTTTGCGAAGCGCAGCTTGGCATGTGTCTCAATTTAGGTTATTGTTCTGTAAAAATTTTCAATCGTAAAAATTCAAAGAGCCTTAAGGTCATAATGGCGCAAAAAAACCGTGAATCACTTGTAGTTTCTAAAGTGTATTTTATTTTTTAAAGTTCCTAGTTTAATGAATAGTTTTTCTCTTGTTATAGTGTCTACACACTCGAAATTGCGAGTAGTGTATTAATACGTGTTCATTAAAAATGTTTACATATTAAGTGGTATTTTTGCTGTGGTCACGATCTGTAGCATTGGAAATTTCATAGCATCTGTTCTCTTCTTTATTTGTGGCTAGTGGTTGTGATTTATTAAGCGTACGTGGCTGAGTAGTTAGTGCGTGAGAGGCATAATATCTTGGTTGTAGATCGAATCCGAGATGTTGCCGAATTGTGACTTACTCGAGGCTTATTTCACTTTTTTGTTGCTCTTTATAGAGCTGATTTTTGTGTTCTCGCTTGTGTTTGCGAAGCGCAGCTTGGCATGTGTCTCAAATTAGGTTATTGTTCTGTAAACTTTTTCAATCATAAAAAATTCGAAGAGGCTTAAGGTCACATATGTTTGAAGCTCAATAAGTTCAGTGAAGACACTTACATAGGCCCGGTTGATTTTTTCAAGGATGCGTCCTAAAATTTGATCGCTCTCAAATCTGATTTTTTTTGCGATATAAAGTTTTTTAAATTGGGTTAGTTTTGTCCAAAAATAAACAAAAAAACCGTGATATTCAAAGCTTGTCGGTGATATTTCTTGTTTGGAACTGGAAAGTTCGACGTTTTTTTTTATCTCCCTGAGATTCTGAAGCTTTTTTTTATAACTGCCTGTTGGCTATTGTTTTCTTTATAAATTTTTAAAAACAATCAGTCGCTTGTACGGTTGCCTCGACTTTATTGACACTTTTTCAGCACTCTGATGGTTTTGAAAACCTTATGTAAGGCTCTTTGAATTTCAAGACCTTTCAATTTTTCGAAATAAAGTAACGCAATTGGAAATAAACTTGATCAATAGATCTCGGCTGATTGATATGTTCCAAATGAATTGATGCAGGTCATTTGGTTTATTAGTAGAATACGAGACGCTAAATACATCCCTATTCAGTTAACATAAGCTTGTAAGGTGAGAAATTGAAAAAAAAATGGAAAAAAAACTTAATTTGACATTTTAAAAGTTTTTCAACATTTTTTTAGCCAACAAAACGTTTTAATTGGTTTTGAAGTAAAGGTATATTTTTCAGGGCCTTGTATTCGACTGCATTGAAAGTGTAGTTGATTTCCTTTCAAATAATAATTTAGTGTTTTTGGTGCTTTTTCGCGACCTTTTCAAAGCCAGTTCGCTGTGTCTGTCTTGTGATAGCTAAATGCAGTTTTGCATCTATGTAGAATTTTCTGGAAGAATAAAAGTTACAGGTGTTTTCTGAATATTGCTAGTTCTTATCAAAAAAATTGAAATCTTCTTAGTTTCTTAATTTAAAAAGGCTTTCATTTTGTTACCCTTGCGATAAGCAAGGTATTGCGACCGGGTACTAGACTTTTTCCCGTTAACAACTTTGTCCACAGGACTCATCTGGACTTCTGGACTCATCTCTACCTTGCTTCATTATGTATTCAATTTTCTTAGCGTTCCTGACCAGCTTAGCCTCGAGGTAACGAATATGCCTGGGGCCGTAAAGGTCCCGGGTTCGAGTTTTACCACGACCTTTTTTTTCAATGGGAAATAATCTGTTTCAAAAAAATTGTCGATCAATTAGTCTGCTTATCTGTTGTCGGCTTAGTTGTCACATCTTGGAATTATTTGTGTTTCTATGCACATTTTGTAATGTTGTTTTTAGTGTTTCTATTTTTTCATCGGCTTAATGAACTAATTTGGGACGTTTCATCATCAAAGCAATTTTCCCTCCCCCTTTTCAAGTTGGTTGTTTGTTTGCTTACCAATCTGTTTGTCAAAATTTTTTTTTTTTCGTTTTGGAAGTTTTTATTCATTTTTTGCAAAATTTTTTTGTTTTTCTCAGAAACTTATCGTGATTTTCAAACAGGGAGTATTAATTGCAAGACCGCTTATTCTTCTGTGTGCCTGCATACTCCCCTAGAGTCTTTTTTTTCTACTTGACCCTTCTGTCTACAGGCATCGAAAAAGTGTGACGGAATGTTTGACCCCATATTTTTGACTTTTTTCTCGAAAACTACCTCTCTCAATTATAAGTTATTAGTTTTAATGGATAGAACTGTTTTGAAAAGCTCACCTGCATAAGTGGGATAATTTTACACAAGAAGTTATCGCCCTCTGAAAAGTCACATTTTTTGTTTTTTTGACCGTTTTTTTGCCCTGTCATCTGAGTTTTTGGGTTCAATCGAAATTACAGATCGCGCTAATCGCTTCTGAATAACGTTTTTGCATGATTTTTTCTCACAAAAAGCTATGATTTTCGGAATCGTCAAATTTGTAATTCGTTGACAGTTTTTTGATTTTTCTCGCTAACTATCCTGCCAAATCTGATATTATAGGTTTAATCGAATGAACAGGTTCTTGAAAGTCTAATTTTCAAATAAGCGATGCCCAATTTGCTTATATAAAAGTTATGGCCTTCAAACAAGTCAAAGTTTTGGAATTTTCACCTTTTTTTTAGGAACTTACTCGTTTTACGCGAAATATACCGGGTCAATTTTCGGGTTGTGTGCAATCGAGAAACCCGGCTTCGGAAATTATCTCTGCTTCAGAGGCCATAACCTGCTTTTTGCAGAAAAACTTAATGGATTTTGAAAAGTCTTTTGTACATTCTTAAGAACTTCCGACCGCTTTTTTGAAACTTTTTTGAGTTTTCTTGAAGTTTTCATTATCAAATCTGAGATGAAAAGTTCCCTTGAAAGAGCGGCTTGCGATAATTGTTCCTGTAGAAGCAGTGGTCCTTAGTTTTTTTTGTAGGAAAAATGTTATCTTTTGGGAAAACTGATTATCTTGAAATTTATTACTCTTCTCAATTATTTTAGTAGAAACACAATGTTTGTATTATATCGCAAGTGGTGCGAAGCTCCGCTTAGCCTCTGTGTGCAATTTGTTCAATTGAGTTCGAACAACATTTTAAGTTTTTACTGGGTTTCTCTTGCTGCAAGTGCTCGTGTGGAGTTTTTTTAAGTTTAATCGTTAGGTTTATATGCAATGATGTACTCCGCGTGCCTCTGATTTCGTTTTCGACTATTAAAATTGGTGAGGAAAATGTCTTTCGGTTGGTTTTAGTTTTTCCACCCGAAATCACGTACCACGAAAATTTTTGGGAATGGTTCGAGTGATATATCGTATTGAAGTCCTGTAAGCTGTGATTAGAACGGCATCAAAAAATTTCAAATGTTTTCCCAGTGTCGAGAAAAACCGGTCAGCAATTTAGTGTAATTTTGAGCGTGTAAAGAGAGCGAGTAAGACTCTTGTAAATTATTTTAAGCTGCAAAATTTAAAAAATTTTACCTAGGAAAACTTTTTTTTTCAGATTCATTTAGCAAGTTAGAAAATTGAGCTAAGTAAAAAAAATTTAAAAATGACTTTTAACCAAGTTGTCTGATTTTTTTCCTTTTTGATTTGTTTACTATTCAAAGAAAACAATTGTCGACCATGTCTACTTCGCGTTCGTATTTTCACTCATTACATCTAAAATGACACTAGTTTGAAAAAAAATCTATTTTTGTGTAGTTTTCTTATGAATGTGGTCGTAACATACGGTGTTTCTTTCACAGCAACCAGTCATCCTTTTTTTCGCTTCTTGCATTTTAAATGTTTTGTTTAAAGCTATGCTTAATTGGTGAACCTTCCAGTCTCCTTCTGACTTGGTCTGGGTGTAATTCAGTTGAATTGGAATCCTATAATCTTGGGCTCAAGTATATACGAATCTGAATTTTTTCTGGGAAAAGTTGCATGACCGGCCTATTTCTTGTCAGCTTATGTTTTGTCGGTTTTGTTGAGGCATCACTGATTTTTCTTGTGCTGGAAGCCCTTTTCCCTGTAATTGAAGTTTTGTTGATGTTCTCCTTTAATTTAAAGTTTACTAACATAGGCCTTGCATATTTCCCTATTTTACTTGCTTAATTCGGCCCACATGGTTTCGGCTTATGTTGTATCAGCATAGTCAAGCTATATTGTTTCGTTTGAAGGGCAAAAATTGGATATTTTTTAAATTAATTCGGGTTGTAAAAGTTCAAAGTTTAATGACGACAATTTCTTATGGCTTTTTTTAACTAAGATTATGAAAAAAAATGTTCAACTTTAAGAGAGTCTTGGCAAATATGTTGTCTCAAATAACCCTTGGGTTAGTTATTTTAATGCAAAAACATGAATATTTCTTTTTAAAAAGTTTATGAAGCAAATATTTGACAATCACGAAGCTGTAGGCGGAAAATTCTGTGCTACCGGAAAAGTAAGTGAGGGAATGAGAGTTTTTACTCATCGTTATAGTTAATAATGGCTCTTAGTGTAATGTTGGTATGTATGATATGTTGGTGGCGTTGTGTAGGACCGTTCGATCGCAGTTTGGGACATGGTGAACCCTGGAGAGATCAACATCAGACGAGTGCTGGTGGGGCACAGGGCAGCTGTAAATGTGGTTGACTTCGACCAGAGGTACATCGTATCCGCCTCCGGAGACAGAACAATCAAGGTCAGTCAGTCTAGGTTATCATTCAATCCAAGCTAAAAACTCAGTACTTTTCGATTATGAATAAGCTCGAACCTTTATATCTCGAATGAATCGTCAACAGGGACGCCTTATTTAGCTTTGCTGCCTTATTGAGATAGTGAATAGCATCGAGTCTGCAATAGTCGCTATCACAATGGGAGCTGCTTAACTCAATTGCTGACTATTTATTCGAGTATTTCAAGATTTGAGGTTATCCTAATCCAGAATTGGAATTTATTTATTTTCAAATCCAATCTAAGGTCACGTAAAAGCTTCAGAAATACTGAAAAAATGACATTTATCTGTTAAAGCTATTTAACAGATTAAAATGTCTTCCTATTGTTCCGAATTAATTTTGATTTAGTTCATTAGTTTAAATCAGCTCTAACTAAACGAAATTTCTAAAATGAAGTAGCGGAATGAAACTTTTACCTCGGACCAGGGATTTTAAATTGGGCTAGTTCTTTTGGTAAAAAATGTCCAGAAAAAGTATGTCTAAGATGAAACGCTATGAAAGGATGTAATCTGTTCTTTAAAATGTAAATAAGGAAACAATTGGCGGCTTTTTGATTTTCTGAGATCATTAGCGCTTTCCCAACTGTCAATGAAACGTGTCATCGAAGTCAATGTTTTGATTTTTCCTAATTTTAGTGCTAGCTTGTGTAAAAAGAAAGTTAGATATTCTCATTTGAAGCTGGAAATCCGTTGATAGTATATCATCTGGTTTGATAGATTCAGGAAGTTGTGACGTGCCAATTAATTTACCTTAATTGGCACTGTCATACCGCTACTGCAGTAGCAGTACTCACTATACGGATGTACAGCCAACCTCTGGTGTTAAATCATTATTTTATGGTACGCTCAAGGTCATACATAAGTGATGACACTGAGACTAAGTGAGAGATCAGAGTACTTAACAACGATCTATCTCTCAGTACATAAGAAAACAAAGAAAAGAGAAAATCTAAATTCAATCTTCTAAATAAAGTATTGAATTCCAACTTGTTTTCAATTTGATATCGCAACGCATATCACATGGCGCACCCAGCAGGATTCGCAGCTCAAGACAACAGAACGGATATGGGAATCCCGGTATTTTGGGCATCAGCGAATTTAGACCCTCCGTGGCAATTTAAAATTTGGTTCGAACAATTTCTCATGGCGGTTACGGTAAAAGAAAATGTGAACCCAGAGATTATTTTGGAAGAACCAAAAGACATATTAGAGGAACCACCACCACGCCCGGAAACGCCCAGGGATGGGGAGAACGAAGATGCGAGGAACGCTAGAATCCTTAGAGATAAACTAGCAAGAGACAGAGTAGCATTGGAGAACGAAGAGAAAAGAACAAGAGGCCCAAGAGTTGGACACAATGTCTTCTACAACGAAGTACAAAAGAAACTGGTGTCACGACTATTTCTATCTTTGGGCACTGAGGGAAAGAAAAGATTCCTACAGAAGAATCCGCACGCAGAAATATCAAAAATGACGTTCAGAGAAGTAACAGATCTGGCAGAAGTCTCGTTTCAAAAAGTGAAATGTGTAACCTACGAGAGATACAAGTTATTTACGAGAATGCAAGAATCTGGAGAATCTCTAGAATCATTTCACGCAGCGTTAACTGCTCAGGCAGCCAGATCAGAACTAGGAACATTGGAAAATGAAATAGTGCGAGACTTATTCATCTCGAAGATGAAGAACATGACATTACAGGATACGTTGACATTCGAAACTCTGGATCCAGAGGAAGTTCTAAAAAGAGCTATAAAATTCGAACATAGCAAGTTAACCACAATGGATTTCAAAAGACTAATGCTGCGGCTGCAGGAGGATCAAGTAGCAATTACACATCGGGTGTAAGAATAAAACAGGAACCTGTAATGGCAGTACGAAATTTGGGGGGGAAAACCAAAACTCCAAATAGAAGAGAAAATAATAACAGACAGAATAATAACAAAAATCAAAACACGAAAACGAAACCATGTAATAGATGTGGAAGGATGTTTGAACAAGGACACCTAAAAAACTGTCCAGCGATGGGAAAGGACTGCAAAAACTGTGGTAAACCGAATCATTTCGCTAAAATGTGCAGATCACAACAAGTAAGTGAAATTGCGGAAGATTCGGAAGAATCGATAGTGGAATGCGACCAGATCAGTGAAGGTGTTGGGTCATGTAGTGAATTTGAAGTCATGTTGATACATACCCATTTACCGGAAAATGAACGAGTTTCAAAATATGTGAAAGATCGAATCAATGAAATGAGAAAAGAAACAAACGGAAAAGTGGTTAGAGTTCAGAAAATAGACTCTATTCGAGATCCAACATTGAACCGCGTAAAGTCACTAAAGGCTATGGTACGAATAGATAACCAGATTATTCAACTAACAGTGGATACTGGTAGTCCTGTTTCATTTCTTAACTGGGCAACGACAAAAGAAATCATGGAAAAATCAAACAAAGTGAGATTCATACCGTCCGACAAATTGAATTTACAAACCAAATTTGTGGACTACAACAAACAACCGATCAGTATCCTGGGAGCCCTAAAAACCAATCTGAGGTCAGCGGGCTGGGAAGTTAAGGGCGCAACCTTTCTGGTATCAGAGCGAAAAACTAGATGCATCATGGGATTAGACTTGCAAGGACAAGTGGGAATAGTGACTACACAAAGAACAGCGCCAAAAGAACTCACCAGGTTTGACGTGCTCATGTGCGAGCAGTCGGAAGGTTGGAAAGAAAAATTTTTCAATAAATTTAAGAACTTATTTGAAAGGCAAGGCATTTCTAAAAACCACATCGCCAGTTCAAAATTCAAATACCCACTATGTCCGATACAAGAAAAGGGGAGAAGAATCCCAATTCATATACAAGATAAAGTCGAAAAAGAAATCGAGAAGTTATTGACAGAAGGTCATATAACAAAACTTGATAAGTGTACAAGTGATTGCTTTATCGCCCCGATTGTGATAACAGTAAAGAAGGACGACTCAATAAAATTGGCAATGGACGCGAAACCAATAAATAGACAATTGTTTAAAAACAAATACCAAATGCCGAACGTAGACGAACTTATTGACGGGGTAAGCCAGATTGTAACCGAAAACAAAAAGGGTACGCTATATTTTTCGGTGTTAGATTTAAAATATGCGTACAGTCAACTAAAATTGGCTGCGGATACAGCTAGGCAATGTAATTTTAACATTGTGGGCGGAAAAGCAACCGGAACTTACAGATTCTTGACAGGATTCTACGGACTAGCAGATATGCCAGCTGAATTTCAAAAGGCTATGGATAGAACCATCAATCATGCTAAAAACACATTCTGTTTCCTGGATGACATACTTATTGTGTCAAAGGGAAGTGAAACCGAACATGCCAACCTAGTAGAAGCAGTATTAAAGAAATTGGATGCGGAAAATTTGGCACTGAAACTATCAAAATGTGAATTTTTTAAACAAGAAGTGAATTGGTTGGGTCATCATCTCTCAGAAGAAGGAGTTAGACCGAAGATCACTAAAACGGAAGCGGTAGTAAACTTGAACCCGCCGAAATCCCTAAAACAACTAAGGTCATTTCTAGGAAGCATAAATCATCTAGCTAAATTTATACCTAACGTAGCAAGTCTGACAGAAAAATTAAGACCTCTTCTTAAAGAAGAAAATCAAAAGAAAAAGTTAAAAAACATGAAACTCCCGGTGAAAAAATTCGAGTGGGGGGATGTTCACACAGAAGCATTTAATGCTATAAAAGGAGCTGTGGCAAATATTACGAAAGTGCATTATTATGATGCAAATCGACAAACACGAGTTAAGTGCGATGCTAGCCATGATGGACTAGGGTCCACTTTAGAACAACAAAATGATGAAGGGTTGTGGGTCCCAATTTCGTTCGCATCTCGATACCTAAATGCTCAAGAAAAAAAATATTCAACAAATGAGTTGGAACTATTGGCAGTTGTTTGGGCAGTAGACAGATATAAACACTATCTTCTGGGGAAACCATTTACCATCGCAACTGACCATAAAGCTCTTACAACAGCATTGGATGTTAATCAATCAAACAAGACCTATCAGTCACGCTTAACCCGGTGGGTTGACCGGTTACTGCCGTATCAGTTCAACATAGTTCACATTCCGGGGAGGGACATGGGCATAGTTGATTATTTATCGCGTGATCCTTTCAATGATCCCTGGCCCGAATCAGAATTAGACGAAAAGTTTGTAGTAGCTACGATAAACTCCTTTCATGAAGCGTTCGACTGCTGGAACAGTAGGCTTAAAGATTCAAGTGCGCTCAACCGGAACGAAAACGTTCTAGAATGTTCTAGAAGGAATGTTAGGAAACAGTCATCAAGTAATGGTTGCTATAGCAACCAAAACGGTCAAAACCGAACAAAGCTCGACCGGAACGAGAGAAAAAAGTTTCCACGACTGCAAAAACAGCTAAACACAACAGTTCAACAGAAACAAATCACTTTTTCGTCAAATCAACCCAGCAAACAGTCAGTCTCAAAAAATTGCAAAATAAAAAAACGACCAGTACCGAAAAAAATAGAAAAAACAGACTCAAGAATCGAGATGTCAGAAAATACAAACAAAACATACGACTGGTGGTCCAGCTCACCACAAGATTGGCGGAATGAGGAGCGTGAAGAAAGCTTAATGGACCCAAAGTGGAACCGATCATTTTCCACCAACAACGAACTCTCGGGAGAAGAGGAAATCACAGAGACAGTACAACGTACAAGAAAGATTATACGAGGAGGAAGAAAAAATAGGGACAGCTCAGACAGCGAAACACGTCAACAACAACGAGTAAAATGGTCGCTGGAACCGGAACAACAACGAATAGCGGACCAAAGACTGCTCTCTTTCTGGCAATTAATAGGCGGAGAAAACAATGTTCAGGAAAATCGAGAACTGGTGGCCGATACTCAAGAAGTCAGAGAAAATCTGGAAGACGAATTCAATCCAACATCGTCAAAACCGATCGCATCGACAGAACGAAAACTCAGTGAGGTGAACGTAATAGAAGTCGACCTAACAACCACAGAAGAGGCGGAGAGTGAGGAGGAAGTGTGCTCAATCCAACCGCCAAAGGGTCTAGGAAAGTTAAGGCTGCAAAAGCAGCAACAAGTAGAGACTCTGGACAACCTCGCAAAACTTCGACAAAAACTTACTAGCAGAACTGACCACAGAAGACACGTGGATGGACCGCCTCAGGAGAGTGATAGAGAGAGGGGACAAACAAGGATTCGAACTGATGGGACCCTATACAAATCCGTTGTGGTCGCAGATGGCAGTTCAGGACGACTGCATCTTGGTGAATAATCGGCTAGCAGTACCAGTTCAACTACGACAAGCTGTCCTGAAACGAATACATCGGGGACACCCAGGACAGGAAGCGATGTTGGGAGCAGCGCAATATCTGTGGTGGCCACACATGAATAAGGACATCGTGAATTTGGCAGAGGAGTGCCGTAGTTGTACCAGATATGGTAAGAATGTAAAATACCTTATTTCGAAAAATTCGTCAAAACCACTACCACTGCTCACGCAGCCGGGACAGGAGGTACAACTAGATTATGCGGGGCCTATAGAAAATCAAAAAGGAAAAAAAATCTATCTTTTAGTAGCTATTGATCGATTCTCAAAATTTCCATCTGTGAAGGTTACAAAATCGACAAGCGGAAAAAGCACAGTAAAATTCTTGAGATCATATATCGACACTCATGGAGTCCCTGAATCAATTCGTTCGGATCAATTTTCAGGCTTTAAGGGAAAAACTCTAAAAAAATTTTGTTCGGAACTCAATATCGAGCAAAAATTCTGTCCGGTGGGGGATCACAGAGGTTGTGGGTTGGTTGAACGTACAATTCAAACAATAAAGAGAAGACTGGGAGTGATGATGCTCGATGAAAATAATAAATCAATCAAATTATGTCTCAGTATTATAATGCGAGATTTACGATGGAACAAGCAGAAAACAATTCAAGTATCCCCGTTCCAAGCACATTTCGGCAGACTACCAAAAACAGAATTTAAAATTGTGAGGGATAGGTTTTTAAATAATTCTGATTCTTTAGACAAACAACACTTGGAACGCTCAGCACTGACTGCGTCTCAAATGAAAAGGAGGATTGACCAGTCAAGAGAGAATCTCAAGATAGTGCGCAAGGGACAACTGAGCAGGGATACAAGCCCACTGCACAAGCAGCAGATAACATCGGACAGAGACAAAGAAAGAGCCAAAGCCCTAAAGGAATTGTTGGAAGCGAACGCCCGCTGGAACTACGAAAGAAGGGACGCAGCTAAAAATGACATCAGGAAATTAGTGGACGAGACAGGTCAACTCAATCCCGACCTTCGAAAAGAAATGATTTACTCTTGGGAAAAAGGATTTGTGGAAGATAAAGTAGAAAACCAATGCAAGTCACCACCCAAGACAATACTTAGAAAGGACCCCCGAAGGAAAAGCGGACAAGCCCTAACCAGACCACTAAAGGGGAAAATAGCTTCAGAAACGGAATCAACAATTAAGACATCGGCCGGTTCGATCTATAGAAAATCGGACATAGCTCAATCAAAAACCGTACTTACACAAGAAAAACAGAGAAGCACAAGTAAAAGTCCATCGTCGGAACCTACAAAAAAGTTCAAACGAGTCAGTTCTCCAGAACTACTAGAGGAGTTGGAATCGGAGGACGAACTCCAAGGAGAAATGGAAATCGCAAATGAAATGGACCCAATAGAGCGCTTTCAGAAGAGCCAAACAATCGTCACTTCTAAGGACACAGAAGCCGGGGGAGGATTGAATCTTGCTATAAAAAGAGCAAAACCAAATTTGGCGGGACCAAAATCATCAGAGGAAATAATCACGAACAAGCCGGAAAAAAGCGGAAAAGAGAAGAAAGGCCGAAGCAAACAACAACAGGGGACAAACGCAAACCAAACTGCGACTGCAGTCAACTCGGAACAAGAGCAAGCAATATCTAAGCCGGATTCGGTCACAGTAGATACCAAAATCCAGTCGAGTTCTACGCCGAAAACCAAACAGCGTCCGAAACTGAAGGGCATTGACGCGCACACCCCTCTTGAAGATATAGTGGAGACTTTTCACAATAGAAATTTGGCACCATCTGACTGGGAAAAGTACGCGGACCAATTATTAAAAAGAGGAGTGCAGCGAGTTGCGGATGAACTTAGAGAAAATCCTCAAAAAGGCTCAGAATTGGATACGAATTTCGAACCACCACAAGGATTCTCGGACGAATCAAGTGCGGAAGAGTCAGGTGTTCGAAGGAGTTCAAGACAAACAAAAAATAAAGAACCCAAACGTTTCGGAGATCCGATAAAACATTCAATCAAAGAAATATCCGAAAATCTTACAGGCAGAAGTCTTTTGAAGGAGGCACTTAAAGAATACAGAAACCAGCTGAGAGAGTTCAAAGATCGGGAAGACAGACCTTTGGAATCAAAAGTGCGGCGACTCGAAAGACATTTATTTATGCGAAAATTCGGATATGCCACTTTAGATGAAGGAGTAGATTGGAACCCGAGTTGGGAAATTGAGCTAGAGGAAAACTGAAATCTACATAATCCAAAAACTGTCATTCATCTTAAGAACTTTCTTCCGAACTGAGTAAATTAAAACTCTTTTAAATAAATTATCCTACTGATGTTGTATAATTTATTTCTTTCACCGAGGGGGGTGTGTCATACCGCTAAGCAGTACTCACTATACGGATGTACAGCCAACCTCTGGTGTTAAATCATTATTTTATGGTACGCTCAAGGTCATACATAAGTGATGACACTGAGACTAAGTGAGAGATCAGAGTACTTAACAACGATCTATCTCTCAGTACATAAGAAAACAAAGAAAAGAGAAAATCTAAATTCAATCTTCTAAATAAAGTATTGAATTCCAACTTGTTTTCAATTTGATATCGCAACGCATGAGATCACGTCTGGTTTCTATAAATTAATCTTTGTGAAATTTGGACATCACATTAAACTTGACGCTTTTGCAGTTTTCATCTTTAAGAGCTATATAGTTTGCATGGATGCTACAAGGTTTTCAGTTCACTTCAGGTGTGGGCCACCTCTACCTGTGAGTTTGTGCGCACGCTCAATGGCCACAAAAGAGGCATCGCCTGTCTGCAGTACCGGGACAACCTAGTGGTGTCGGGATCCTCGGACAACGACATCCGACTGTGGGACATAGAGAACGGCGCCTGCATTCGCACTCTGAGTGGCCACGAAGAACTAGTGAGATGTATCCGATTCGACAACTACAGAATCGTATCCGGTGCTTACGACGGGTGAGTGAAACATATTGTCTCACAATCCGGAATGGTTACGATTTTGAGCATAGGCGCTGTCCAAGTGCATCGAATGAGTATTTTTAGGAAAGTTTTGCGATCTCGTCATAAATACGTTAAAAAGAAATGTGCTCATTGCTGAGCATTTATAGCATTGAGCACTTTTTGTAGTAATTTCTTGCAACTGAACTAAAGAAGACTGCTCGAATCACGGTGAACCCCTGAATATTTTCATTGCCCCATAAGATATCTCTTTTAAAAATTGACAGTTTCAAAATTTTGTGATTTTTAAGTGTCAATGAACGATGATATTTATCTTCATTTGGTTTTGCTGTTTTTTTAGGAAAAAGACGCTAAAATTCAATTCTCGCTGGTTGAAATTTTATCATTTTGAAAGTTCATAACCCTTGCGATCAGCAAGGGTATTGCAATCGGGTACTAGACTTTTTTCCCGTAAGTAACTTTGTCAACAGATAGGTCAAACTAAGAAATGGTGGTAATCAGTATGTTTTATACCATTGGTTTATACACATGAATAATTAAAAGCATAGTTACTGTATTGGCCTTGTGTTTACCTTAAGAGTTGCCAATTAATATTTTTTATCAGATTCTAATTTCAGAAGGCCATCAGTGGAAATAAATGAGCTATTTTTTGCGAATATGTTGTTGCATTTTTTCAATGCAAATAAATTTTTTTCTAACTTTTCAAAAATGTTTGCTTTGTCGGTCAATTAGCACGGACTTGTTAAGTATGCGATTTTTATTCTCGCATTAAGCATTCGTGGGTTGTTATCGCTACGTAATTTTTGTTACGATGCATATTTACCGTTTGTTTATATATTGCGAAAAATGAAGAAAAGTTGCGACAAAGGAAGGAATTTTTTTTTCATATTCTTACCGGAATAACAAAATTATTTAGTAACCCAGTTATTTTTTATTAGACAAGTTTTTTTTGAACAAGTAGTCAATCACAACAGATTTTTGAAATTCAAAGAGCTTTAAGTGATATAGTGTTTCTCCGTTTTTCGACAAATTACAAATGATCAAAACAAGTAAATCACTTTATCCCGCTTCCTTGAATTTATTGAAACTTTTCCAATTGTATACTGGCTCTGTAGTTGTTAAATTTTCCTCTACAAGCGCTGGCATGTTTAAATTGATATTTTTTGCATCTAGTAACAAGTTATTTGAATCAAGAAATTGTTAATTAAATTTCAGTTAATTTAATTCACCGCACACGCTGTGTTAATAGAAAACTAGTGAGCAGTGAGCTTGAAATGTCCTAAATAGACTATTTTAACGCTTTTTTCGGGGGAAAATTTTGTTAAGAGTATTGAACGTTCTGAAGACTCTTATATAGGTCTTGGTGATTTTTTTTCAGGAAAAATTCAAAACGCTCTAATAATTACAGATGTGCATTCATACATATTGATGCATTAATGAATGCACTTAGGTATAAATGCACGTTTTGAGTTCAATTGAAATTCATCTGCTTCTAGGTCACGTAAATAGCACTCTTTAAATACGAACGTGGAAATGGCGCGAAAAACGAACTGTTTCTAGTTTTGAAAGTGGAATTTGCTTTTCAGATTTTAAGCGGAATGAAAACTTTGCCTGTTGATCCAATTTTCTAAAGTTGGGTTATCTTTATCAAAAAAGCGCCGATCACAAATCGCTCTAGAAATTCAAAGAGCTTAAAGAGAATCTCCTTTTTTCTTTGAAATTCGAAAGTTTTGATTTTTTTAACAAAGTGTCTTTTAATGTTTACTTGCGTTCATTGCTCTTTTCTAATCTTCGATTAGCTATGTTTTAACAGAATCACTTGTGTCTTGGTTCACAATGAATTCAGATTTTTTCGCATGTGGTGCGGCAAGATTACGCCTTGGAAAGCAAAGGCCTTGGACGGCATGGAATCTGACTGTTTTTTTTGTTCTAACTGGAAATATTAGTTTTCAAAAAAATTTCGGCCGATAGTTTCTATGCTTACGTTTTTTAGGCTTAGTTGCCACATCGTAAATTTGGTTTTTGTGTACGTTATTTTCAATTTAATAGCTTTCAGTGTTTTGAATTCCTGCGAATTTTAATTGAACTATTCTTGACTTCGTGTATCTTGCTGTTTTGTTTTTTTTTCGCTCAAAAACTATTCGGCTTAAATGATTTCGGCTTATATTTTATTATCTTAGTGACCTCTCACTTTTTTTGACTTATCAGTGATTTCAAATCCTTCATTGAAATGCGACTGCTCAAATGCTTTTAGTTTTCGAGATTTGACATTTTTTAATGATTTTTTCAAAAGATTTCAAAGAACCTACCTGTAACGTGAGAAAACGTTTTTTGTCAGCCTACTCACTGGCGTACTCACAATTTAGAACAAACTTTATCGTCAGCGTACTCACAATTTAGAATGCTCTCTTAGTTTCTGACATATGATGTTTCTTATATTTTTTTTCAAAATGTTTCGGGAACTTTGGTTTAATAAAATTCACGAAATTGGAAATTCCCAACACTCTAGTTGGGTGCTGTCAGGGCAAGCTCAGGGGTTGCAAATTTTGCAATAGCTTATTTCCGATATGTGCTGTTTTTAAGTTAACCAAAAATTGGAAGCACCGGAGGTGCGTTACACGCTAGTTTTTTTCTAACTTCTCCAATTTGGGATAATTATTGAGTGCTATTTACCAGTTTTCTACTGGTGCGTAGCGTGTGCTGTGAATTAAATCATTCCAAATTGAGTTAAGGCTTCTTAGTTGTTTCACTTATTTTGTTGAATAAATGAGGAATATATCATTCTGAGCTTGACTTTTTGCCTTCGGGGGATTAAACATAAGCCTGCAAAAAAATGAGTTTTCAAAAAAAATTATGGTCTTTATTTTTGCATAAAACACTACTGCAGATATCTTAAAGGGTATTTAGAATTTGCCTTGATACGAGCATTCTGGTTAATACTGAAAACTTTCAATTGAAACAGACTTATATAGAAGCTATTATACTTCTCATATCTCAATTGAGCAATACAAATCAAAAGAAGTAATTTTGAAATAGATTTGTTTGCTCCATTTTCCATGTTTTATCCAGCGGTTTGACTTTTGCTCCGATCATTGGAAAATATATTTTGTATTCCGGTGTGTTTTAGTTTTTTGTTCTTTCTTTATTTTCTTTCCATGCAAAATCAGGTAACAAAAATAATCATCGGAATGGTTCGAGTGATACAGCAAATTTCAGTCGTGATTTTCAAAAAGTTTTCTCATTGAGAAAATCTTCTAACAAGTTTTTAATATTTATTTCAATTTTGAGCGAATAAAGCGAGTGAATACGCAACAGCTTGTTTATGCTTAGTTTAAGCTCTGAAAATTTAATTTAAGACCTGAAAGCAGGTAAAATTAGTTTTTGGATTTTTTACCGCCTTTTTGGTCACAAATTTTGTCCAATTTGCCTTTATTACTATGACTGTCAATTATGCCTAATATATAGTAACGTCAGATCTTTTTATCACACCGCGCAGAAAAAAAACTACAGTGTACTTTTTTGAACACTATGGTCGGAACATTCTGTGCTACATGCGCAATAAACGCCTTTCCCTGTCTAATGCTGCAAGTGTTTCAGTAAAATCAAAGTGTGGGACCTGAAGGCTGCGTTAGACCCCAGAGTACCCTTAAGCGAACTGTGTCTACAGACTCTAGAGGTAAGTTCAGTTCTGATTTGTGATTAGTTCAAGCCCAATTTCTTGATCTGATGTCTACCAACAATGCTTATTTTTTGAGTAGTTATCGAAGCATTTCATGCGCGCTACAACTGTCTTGATGCAAAAGTTCCTCCAATAAGATGAAAAGTAAAGTGTATTAAGATGAAAAAAATGCTTCAAATACAAAAGTTCCAAGTAATAGTTTTAATGGAATAGAAGCTAACAAATTTTCTTTGGTTTTAGCAACACACCGGTCGTGTATTCCGTCTGCAATTTGACGAATTCCAAATCGTGAGCAGTTCTCACGACGACACCATCATCATTTGGGACTTTTTAGACGGGCGGACGGACGAAAACAGCCAGCAGACATCTCAGCATAATACAACAGCACCTCTCGCGACTAATACTTTCGTTCCTAATGCCCCTGCCAGCACCACGAGTAACAGCTCGCCGAATTCTTCAGCATTGACGGCCACGCCCAACAACGCCGCGAACCAAAGTGGGTCGACCTCAACCTCGGGAACACACTTGCCCCCGAGGCCGCCGAGCTTGACCGGATCGCTGTCACCACCGCTTTCCCCAAATCATGACATGACGACATGACGATACCAGCTCGAGGGTCTATGGTTACAGCAAGACCACCTGATATAAGTTATGAATTACTCCACTTACCCATTCGAACTGTTTCTAAGCAATCGTAAACCACGAACAATTCAGCTGTTCTTCTTATCTCAACAGTTTAAATTTCAACAGCAGAAATTTCGGTTCATCTTTTCTCGTAACTGACGTGTAAAATTGCGAGTTTTTATTCACAGAGACAAATGTGTTCCTCTTCACGTTTTACTAGTTTTAACGATACGATCACTAATTTTTGTTGCATTTGAACTGATGGTTTCAAAATACTCCCGTGCGAATCGAATATTTTTCTGGATTTACTTTGCACTACATTTGTAGCAACCGACCGGCAAAAACGATGTGTGGCTGTTAATCGTGTAAATGGTGGCTCTTTTTACCTGAAAAGTGATCATTGATAACTTGCTTTTCGACCTCACGCATACTTCAGTTATTCAACGTACTACGGGTCAAATAACCCTACCGAGCCAACTCTCTGCAACTTTCTTGTTGTTTTTATCAGTTTTTGAGCTATAAGTTAATGTAAATGTTATAGTAAATGCAATCTATATGAAGTTATCGATGAGTGTTAAATGGTTTATTTCAATAAACTTTTTTTGTTTTTACTGGTTTTTGAAATGACTGCTCTTTTACTGCAGTCAATCTGATCTGAGACTGAGAAATTCAAAAGAATCTAGAAATCATCATGGAGAAATCGATTCACAAAAAGGAAGTCGATTTTGCACATAGTTATGTAGCGAAGCAGCGCTTTTCACATCAAGTTTTTGATACAGTGCTGATTTAAATCATCCGGACAAAATGAACAAAACTTGAATTTTCAAACACGTTTTTTCTCAATTTGGGTTAAGATTAGACGCAAAGTGAAGAGACCAAAAGGTGCTTAGATTTTCATCAGAATTAACATGGTACAATTTTTCCCCCAAAAATCTCAACCAAAATTTTAACCCAAAAATGGCTCATTTTGGCTTTTTTCAATTAATCAAGAATTAATCTGAAACTACTTTGTTTATTGATAAGGAAGATATATCACAAGAGGTCTCTTGCACAGACCAACAAAGTTCTAGAAGGGTAAAATTTCCAAAAATTTGCGCAAATTGTGAACAATTTAGTTTTACGCAAAGATTCTGGGTTTTATATAGTAAAAGTTACCTTTATTGACGATCAAGTAAATTTTTTTTCTCTTATACAGGTTTTTGGAGATTAAACCCTCCAAGAACTTTGTTGCGCTGTGTAAGAGGCTTCTTGTGGTATATATTCCTCATCAATTAACAAAGTTGTTTTAGCGTAATTCTTGATTAATTCAAAAAAGCTAAAATTAGTCATTTTTGGGGTAAAATTTTGGTTGAGATTTTTGGAGAACAAATTGAATCGTTTTACTTCTGGTGAAATTCTAAGCAACTTTTGTTCTCTTCACTTTTTGTCTTATCTTAACCCAAACTGAGAAAACGCGTTGGAAAATTCAAGTTTTGTTCGTTTTGTCGGGATAATTTAATTCAGCACTGTACTAGTTTTTCCGATAAACTTATGGTGTCAGACCTGGGTGCCCAAAAAGTCGGTTTTGACCGACTTGTCGGTTTTGGGCGGTTTTTTCTGAAATCGGTTACTGTCGCTTTTTTGGATATTTTTTAAAAATACATTTCAATTAGCGTTTCTCACTCCAACCAATCTTGAAATTTTTCTGAAGGTGCCTTTGGCGCCAATTTATAATAATTTTGAAAGGGAGCGCGCGCCAAAACAATCGCGTTCTTAATCAAAATTTTCCAAAAGTGCCCAAAAACGACATTTTTGACCTGTTTTCTCAAAAATTTGACTGCGGTGCAGAAAATTCGGTCAAATTCGTGTTTTATACGCTTTATACTATTTATACTATAAAAAATTATACGAGAGATCAGATTTATTCCTTTAATTCTAGGATTATACGAAACCGATAATTGGCTATTTTTTGTGAGACAAAAATGCTTTCATTGAGTACTGCAAGTTGATCGATAATAGCGTCAGCACAACTCGAACATAAAAAGTTTTCTGAGAGCAATCAGAGGTGTTCGGGCAAAAAATAGAATCGAGCATCAAAAACAATCCAAAACGCCTTGCGCGTTTGCTAAAATTGAGTAAGGATTTTGATCTCAAGTTATACGATTATACGTGTTTTATACGAAAGCCAAAATATACGATTATACGCTATCAGATAGTCAGCTTATACGATCATAAGTTATATGTTTTTTTTTCTTCATACGTCATTACACTGGTCAAAATACGGTCTTAACAGTGTTTGGGGAGAGCTTAGAGATCAATAATCTAATTTTTTTATGAGTAACGCTACCAAGTCGTTTTTTTTCGAAATCTCATTGGGCACCCTGTGTCAGATCTTTTTTGTAGTAATGCAAAAATTTCGTGAGTTTTTTGTTTAACTATATGTTTAATTATTCTCACAAGCTTCTGTGGCCGATTGGAGTATGCACTTCGTCTGAAACTCCAAAGCGCGTTACAGTTCAACTCACAGAGTAGCAAACGTTTCAACAAATCTTGTTATTTTATCAGAAAAACCATATCAGATGGTTTCTTCAGCAAATGTTGGTAGTTCTTTTTTTTTCGATAAATTGTTTTTCAATGAATTGTTTCGTTGATTTAACTTCTAGAGTTACTGGCGAAACAATAAAACAATTTCTATAGATCTAATAGTTCAGAAAATGTTGGTACACGCTCAAATTTCCAATTGCAAAAATCTAGTTGTGATATCCGTATCATTTTCTATTCGCTCACTTGCAATGCTACGGTGGCGTTGTATCGCAAATGATTTCAAGCTCGCTTCGCATCTTTATTTTGAATTTAAAGAAGAGTAGATTGGCATTGATTAGTTCTAAAAATATTCTAATTTTTCTTTCAGTATATACATTTTTCTTTGCTCGTGGCGAGAAGCTCTAAATTGCATCTTTGTGCATGTTGAACTAACTCACGCGAAGTTCAGTTTCGCATTTGGGAATTAATAGGATGCCGCTTGGGTTCTGCTAACTGGTTGGCTTTTGAGTAGATCCAGTTACATTTCTGGTTTGAAAATGTTTTGCTAACGTTTTTCTTTGTTTTAGGTTAAGCAGCGTAGTACTGCATCGCCTCGTCTGTTTTCTTTGTCTAACCGAACGTTTGGTAAGAGTCAATGATTGTAGTTCATACTCTTCGATAGGTCGTCATGATTTTTTGTTTTATCTTTAGGAAAAGTCTTAAAATTCTAATGTTTTACAGATGAACATTCGTACATATTAATGCACTTATGAATGCAATGATGTATATACGCATTATGGATGTTCAATTCAATTTCCTCTGGTAACAAATAGCTAACTTGCGCTTTCGAATAAGGAAAGTGTAAAGGAAACAAAAAATGTGATTGCCTTCTAGTTTCGAAAGAGGAATTTAGTTTTTAGATATTCCAAAAGAAAAAAGCAATGATGCTGTACGTTTTGAGCTATCGAAAATGATTAGGCTTGCGATTGGCAAGTATTAAAAATCGTAATATAGACTTTTTCGGGTTAACAACTAGTTGAGCAAAATAACTGAATCGATTGTGCGGCATTCGATTCTGCAGCAAACATGCTCAAGTTTTTGAAAATTCAAATTCAACTACTGGTTACGAAAACTAGTTGAAGGTTCAGGGCCTAGGTTCGAATCTTGTCAGCACCAGAGTAAGGAACGTAGTGAAGACTCTTATATCGCTCTTGCTGTTTTTTGTTTTTTTTTATAATGCACTTTTTGAGTTCAATTGAAATTCGTCTGCTGAAAGTGACCTTAATAGCACTCTTTAAATACGAACGTGAAAATTGCGCTCAAAAACGTTAACGATATCTAGTTTCGAAAGTGGAATTTAATTTTAAAATTTCCCTGCGGAATAAAAACTTTACCTGTTGCTCCAGTTGTCTCAGGTTGGGTTCATGTTATTAAAAAAGCGCCAATCATAAATTGTTCTAGAAATTCAAAGAGCTTAAAGGGCATCTATTTTTCTCTTTGAAGTTCGAAAGTTGAGATTTTTTCAAGAAAGTCAGTTTTTTTTCTTACTTGCGTTAGTAAAAACACTCTTTTCCAATCTTTGATTGGCTATGTTTGAAAAAATCCTTAAGTATTGAGTATGAAAAGTTATCTTCCTTACAGTTGCCTGCTTACGTTTTGTCTGCTTAGTTTCCAAATTTCTTACCTTTTTTTGTGCTGTAAGATAATTTTATTGTAATTGAAAGTGTCTTTGTTTCTATAATTACCCTTTCGATAAGCAACCAGTAGTGATGAGTAAAAAAAAACAATTTTTAATTGTTTTTTGTGTCATTACTCAGTTTACATTGTAGATTCTGGTAGTGTTTTTGTTTAATTCGGCAGGTTTTAATTTCTTGAATTTGTTTTTTTTGCTTAAAACTTTGTACTGTCCAAATGATGGCTTCTACTTTATCGGTTTACTAACCAAATGTCGAGTCGCTTCACATGAAACGTAGTTTTTATTTCCCCTGGGGGTCACACAAATTGCCAAAATCTTAGCAGAATTTGAAGTTCAAGTTTGTCATGACAATATTTTTCGTTCCTTTTTTGTTCCCTTTTTTCGGCCTGATTGGTTTCATCCAATATTATGTCGGCTTAGTGGCCTAATTTTGTGGCATTTGACAAGCAAATAAATTTTTATGTTTGTTTGCTTTGAGTGCGAGGGGAACTTCCTAAACTTTTGGTTAGCCGAAGTCCTGTTGATTTTCTTGGCATAGTGTTTCCACTAAGGTATTTTTTATTGTATTGGCATATTTTTGTTTCAAAACTAGTCTGATTCATTTTGATAGATCTAGTTTTTTCTTGTTTTCGAATTTTGCTCAGACTTTTTCCGACTTAGCAGTTTCTTGTTGTGTATCAATTCGTGAGGCGACTTCATGGGCGTCTAGCGGCTATAATAAATCAAGAACTCGCCAGGTCCAAGGGCCAGAGCTCCGTTGGCCCTACACTGCTGGCAACAACGCAGTTTTACGCCCCGATACCGCGTCGAGGTGGAGATGGATTTATGGGGGGCCAGAGCTCCGTTCGCCCAACACTACTGGCAACAATGCAGGTTTACGCCCCCATACCGCATCGAGGAGGAGATCGATTCATGACCATTTTTCGGACGGCTAGAGTCTGTATCGATCAGATCTATAGCCTCCGTCGAATACCTGAGCAGCGACACGAGTTTAGAAGAGCTACTGTCATCTGCTTCGTCTACTTCGCAGCTGCTTTTGACAGTATTAACAGGTCGACTCTCTGGAGACTACTCCGAGAGGTTGATGTCCCAGCAAACAACTGCGATGTCATGGTGAACATGTAACTTCATTCACACTAGTTGTAAGATCGAGGCTTACAACGAGGAGAGTGACAGCTTCCTCGTCCTCACTGGAGTAAGACAGGGCGGGATCCTGTCACCTGTTCTTTTCCTTCGTGCGGTAAACCATATACTCAAAACCGGGGAATCACACAAACTCGGCGTTGTCACCTGGCCATCAGAGTATACAATTGAAAACTTTGCCTTCGCCGATGATAGCGCCATTATCGGAGACTCTGTAGAAAAAGTCAGTCAGATGACCCCTCTCCTGTCAGACGAGGCAGCAAAGCTCAGGCTACATATAAACTAAGAAAACGAAGCTCATGAAAACAGCTGATATATTCGGTACAATCGACATAAATGGGGTGGGAATCGAGACAGTCAACGATTTCTGCTACCTTGGTAGTCAGATTGCCCCAGACGGTTTTGCCGGAGCTGACGTAACTAGGCGCATACATCTCGCCTGGTTCGCTTTCATCCAGTTATCCCAGTTGTGGTAATCAAATATCAATACAAAGATCAAGATCCGATTCTGAAGGCCATTGTCTTCACAATTGCTTCTTACGCGTGTGAAACCTGGAACGTACTCCAAGCCGATTTTCATAGTTTCGAAGTATTCTATATGAAATGTCTTCGTATAGTCACCAAAACGTGGTGGCAACACCGGGCATCCAACGCCGAGGTTCTGCGAAAGAGCGATCCAGTAGAGACGTTCTCGCGGACCATTTGGCGCAGACAGTGGAAATATCTCGGGCATGTTATGCGCATGGATTCCTGTCGATACCCCAAGATCCTATTTATGGCCAAACCAGATCCATCCTCGAGAGGGTCATGAAAAAAAAACTAATGAAACCGCTCAATGTCTCCCGTCGCGTCTTCGACGCGATCTGGAAAGATCACCTGGAAATCATTGCCAACGATCGAAACCAGAGGCGGGCGGTTCTTTATAGGTGACCCCTATACCTCATACGAGGTGGAAAAGGCGACTAAACTGAACTGAAATCACTTCGTGATGCGAAGTGTGTGAAGTTACCTGATTACAATATTTGAGAAAAACAGTTCCGATTTTTTTTGTATGTGATTCCAATGCCTGTGTGATTTTGTGATTTGAAGTTTCATGATAACATTTGCCAGAGAAAGTGTCTGGTAATTCCGAGCAAGACCTTATTCGCACCCTTAGTTTTGGGGTTCGAGACCCTGTTGGATGTTTTTTTTTTCAATTTGCTTTACGACTGAAAGAGTTAATTTTCTTGTTTCATCAGCTTATTTAACACTTTTTTGTATCATTTGAACAGCAAAAACTGACTGCTATTTAATTAATTCGGACTAAAAATTTCAAATTCACTGAAGTTTTTTCTGACAACTATTTTTATACGTTTTTTGTTTTCGACTCAATGGGCGTCTACTTGAAAGTTTTTGGCTTTAATGTTGTTGGCTTTGGCGATACTTAAAGCCCAATTACTGTCGGTGGTTTTTTCTCAGCTGAAATATTTTAATTTTTACAGAGTGCGTTCAAAAACTTTAATGCATCTATGAATGCTTCTAGGTTTATATGCACTGTTTGAATTCAATTCAATTTCATCTGCTGACCTTTAAGAAATTGCGCTCTCGATTTACGAAAGTGTAAAGGTCACGACAAATGTGATGGACTTCTAGTTTCGAAGTGTAATTTAATTTTCAGATTTTCCAGAGGAAATTAAACTTTACCAATTTATCTAGTTTTTTTTTCACATTGAAATAATTTAATCAGAGAAGTTTCAATCATAAATTGTTCTTGAAATCCAAAGAGCTGTAAAGCCATATATATTTTTCTCCTAAATGCGGAAGTTAGTATTTATTTTGTTTCCTTGCGTTCATTGACTCTGTTCCAACTTTCTATTGTATTTCAGGAAAAGTCTTAAAATTCGTTCACAATTATTTGATTTTCCGCACTTTGACTTTTGATGTAATTTTAAGCTCAGCTCATTTCCTTTCGTATCGACTTCTAGTTTGTGGATTTTAATTTTTAGATTTCTCACCGGAATAAAAACTTTGCCTATTGATCCAGTGTTCTCATATTATAAAGTTAATGAGTTAATGTCATCAAAAAAGTGTCAGTTTTTTTCTGTTTCCTAGCGTTCATTGACTGACTCTTTTTCAATCGTCTGGGCCATTTTTAAGCTTAATGATCGAAGTGTTTGAATTAATGGTTTATCGAAGAACTGATTGATCAATTTTTCATTAATTTTTCTTTCTGATTTATTGCTTTCTACATTGTATACTGCGATATTGGTTAGCGGAATCTAACACGTCAGCCTCATCTGCGTTATGATGACAATTTTTTCCGATTTCGAAATTATTCAATATTTTGTGTAGTCATCTGGTTGACGAAGAGAGTATGATCACTTGAGGTGTTATAACATTAAAGGAAATGAAAACTGAATGGATGTTGATTTCACGTGGTCTTGTTTGCCTTCATGGTGTGACGTAAATGTGCATTCCATCTTGTTACCATTGCCCCGAGGCTTCCAGAGAAGAGCATAGAATAAGAAAAAAGCCACGGGACATTCTTAAAAAGGAAGTCTTGTGGCGGAGAGAACAACATAGTCTTTCATTTTCCCCTTTTTGTTTCGCTTCATTGTAAACTGAGCTGGAGCCTTTTATTTAATTATTGAGCATAATCAAATGCATTGTATTAGTCTTTTCCCTAATCGAGGGCTAATCAAATCAAACTTTTACTTTGGGAAGGATATTTGAAAATTATTTAAATACCAAATTACCTCAATTCCATTTATTGAATACCTCGGTTTTTGCCGCTCCCCGTCCACAAAAGGTGAGGAAATACTTCATTTTTTGTAACTTTAATCTCAAATGGTTTGCTTGTATCAATTTTTTGTATCTAAGATTTCTAGGGACTAAGTTTAGTTGAAAGTTGGTAACTTTTAGATTTCAGCTAGACCATGTCAGAGTTCTTACGTGGCAATAAGAAGGGTTAGCTTAGTCTATTTCAGGTTCATCGAGGCGAAGAGATTTCTGAAAGTTCCCCAGACTAGGGGCAATGCAGTTGACAGACGATTTTAAGAGGATTAGTTGTACCTTTTACCAATAAAAGGTGAAATATTTGGAGCCAAGAATCTCAAATGTGTTTCTAACTATCTCAAATGTATTTCTAGCTATGACTTTATTGTTAAGGGAAGGCGTAGCCTGTTTTCTGATTTTGACTACCTCAAGGAAGCCTGACAAGGTCAAGTGTGGAACCATATTGGAGCCCTTTGAGCCGTGAGTTAGATCCCAAAAATATTCAAAAATTTTCTCATTGTCAAAAAAACGTTTTCTCATTGCCTAGTTTTCCGATATTCAGTACAGTTTTCAAGAAATTTGGTTACACTGGCAATTCAATTTTGATTACAATCAATTGAATTCAACTGCAGATTAATTTTTCTCTTAATTACTGGTAGTCAAAAAATTCTGTGCTAATTACACAGCAACCGGCTACCCTTTTTGTTCCGACTTTCGTAGCAAAAGTAACGGAATATTTGTGCTCGGTGTGGGTTTTTTTTTCTTCAGACAAATTTCGACTTTTTAACTAGCCATTTTTGACGGAATTTTTTTCATATCATTCGAAAGGTATTGATGTCCTAAGCTTAAATTTGAAAAGATATTTCACCTGTGATTATTTTTCGTTAAGTTATGGGGTTTAAAGATTGCAATTTTGGCCAATTTGGGACAATTAACGCGCGATATATTTCGCGCTATTAACGCTTAAACGGAGATTTAATCCGTGTTAGAAATCGTTCCACATTGATTGAAAGATTATTTGCCATAATTGGTTTGTTAGATTGGAGCGAAATTTATCACTTTATACTTTGTATGGCATGTGGGGGGAGATGATTTTTACAATAAAACCTCAAATTAAAAACAAATTCATTTTATTGTTCCGACTTTCGTAACGAAAGTAACGGAATATTTGTGCTCGGGGTGGGTTTTTTTTCTTCAGACAAATTTCGACTTTTTAACTAGCCATTTTTGTCGGAGTTTTTTTAATATCATTCGAAAGCTATTGTTGTCCTGAACTGAAATTGAAAAGATATTTCACCTGTGATTATTTTTGGTAAAGTTATGGGGGTTTAAAGATTGCTTTTTTGGCCAATTCGGGACAATTAACGCGCGATATATTTCGCGCTATTAAAGCTTAAGCGGAGATTTAATCCGTGTTAGAAATCGTTCCTCATTGGTTGAAAGAAGCTGATTTGCCATAACTGGTTTGTTACTAGGAGCGAAATCTTTCACTTTGTACTTTGTATGGCATGTGGGGGGAGATGATTTTTCCAAAAAAACCTCAAATTAAAAACAAATTCATTTTATTGTTCCGACTTTCGTAACGAAAGTGACGGAATATTTGTGCTCGGGGTGGGTTTTTTTTCTTCAGACAAATTTCGACTTTTTAACTAGCCATTTTTGTCGGAGTTTTTTAATATCATTCGAAAGCTATTGTTGTCCTGAACTGAAGTTGAAAAGATATTTCACCTGTGATTATTTTTGGTAAAGTTATGGGGGTTTAAAGATTGCTTTTTTGGCCAATTCGGGACAATTAACGCGCGATATATTTCGCGCTATTAAAGCTTAAGCGGAGATTAAATCCGTGTTAGAAATCGTTCCTCATTGGTTGAAAGAAGCTTATTTGCCATAACTGGTTTGTTACTAGGAGCGAAATCTATCACTTTGTACTTTGTATGGCATGTGGGGGGAGATGATTTTTTTAAAAAACCTCAAATTAAAAATAAATTCATTTTATTGTTCCGGCTTTCGTGACGAAAGTAACGGAATATTTGTGCTCGGGTGGGTTTTTTTCTTCAGACAAGTTTCGACTTTTTAACTAGCTATTTTTGACGGCGTTTTTGAATATCATTCGAAAGCTATTGTTGTCCTGAACTGAAATTGAAAAGATATTTCACCTGTGATTATTTTTGGTAAAGTTATGGAGGTTTAAAGATTGCTTTTTGGCCAATTCGGGACAATTAACGCGCGATATATTTCGCGCTATTAACGCGTAAGCGAGATTAAACCCCCCTGAGAAATCGTTCCAAATTGGTTCAAGGAAGCTTATATGCCTAATTGATTGGTTAATAGGAGTAAAATCTACCACTTTGTACTTAATATGACGTGTGGGGGATGTTTTCACAAAAAATCTGAAATTTTTTAAAAATTTTTATTTATTTACATTTAAATTTTTCATGTTATCCTTGCTCCACAGATCTTTAAAGGCAGTCGGAACATTCAGGGCTTCACCCTGATATGAGCAGTCTTGTTATTTTTTATATTATATTTTTTTTCATGTTAATACTGCTCCATAGACCTTAAAAGGCAGTCGGAACATTCAGGGCTTCTAAATACTGACCAGTATGAATACGCGGCTGTCTAAATACTGGCTGCACTCCAGCCTAACACTACGGTGGGTATTCACGAGTACCAAAATGATAAATCAGTCCCATTTGTACCAAAATAAAAAATCAATCGCGTTAGTACCAAAAATATTCAATTGGCCTAAGACTATTAAGTACTGTTCTTCTGTTTGAACAGTAGGAAATTAATGTAATAATTCGTTGGCTCACAATTCGACCAATCAGAAATCGAGTTGAATTATTTTGGTACAAATGGGACCGATTTTTCATTTTGGTACAAATGACCGTTGGTACAAATGGGACGTCACCGTAACACTACTATTGTTTTTTTTTTCATATAATATTTATACATTGTCGTCTGTTTAAAGTTTTTTAAAATTCTTAATATTATACTCTCTCATTTTTCTTTCAGTTAGCTCGGTTTCTAGTAAGGTAAGAAGCACACAATTCGACCGTTTTTGTTTTCTTTTGAATGTTCATTAGCTCACACAGTTGTGTCCTGCCCTAATCAATATCAGTTCAGCCAAGTCCGCGCCAATATTTCATTTGAATTAAAATGTGATTATCAGCATTCCCAGGACATTGCACCCGCACTCTTACATAGCAAAATAAGACAGGCCCGAAAGTAGACGCCGTGAGCCAATCAGAATCAAGAAAAAAAGCATTTCGTGCGCTTGCTACTTAATCACGTCTCTACTTTTTGACCCGCGCTGCCACGCGCACGTCGTGCATGACAGCTCAGCACTAAGATTTCGGAAAACTTTTAGATTACCCATGCGCTGTTGTTTTAGAGCATTAAAGGGTGTTGTAACTTAATGTAACCCGATTTTTAAAACCCAATTTTGGAAGGCAAGGCTTTCATAATTTTTTACTAATTCTTGATATCATTTACAGAAGATCACAACCTAAATTTGTTTTTGAACTTTGAACCCTCTCTTATTTGTTCACGGCTTATACTTCTCCACGCTTAACCATTGCGCTGATTCCCAAATTAGGTCCACCAAAATGGCGGTATTATCTATCAGGTAGCCTTATCTTTGTTTGTTAGCGATCTTCTTTTCTGACTAACTTAGTCAATCAATCGGGGTCAAGCTTTAATATTTTCGGCCATCATTTCTTGAAGTGGAGATTAATAAGATCTTGTTTTCTTCTGTCACGATTTTCTTAATTGTTTGTATTTAATGAGATTCACTTTATCTAATCTAAAGTAAAATCTGTTTGATTGCTTTATGTGGAGCAGAAATTACTAAACTCGTTTTTAGCAGAAGTTTATCTTTAAAACTTCCTATTTCATTTTCAGACTTTTGGATTTTGTGTTTGACACTGCTTCTTAACTATGACCGAAGCTGCTATTAAGCCGAAACGGGTCGCTGAAGGTGACAATGAAAGTGGAAAAGTGAAACTGGAGCGAACAGTGGGCTTAGTGAGCGGGATTGGCCTGACGATGGGAACCATGATTGGATCTGGAATCTTCGCAACGGCTCCTGGTGTTGTAAAAGACAGCGGAAGTATCGGGCTCAGTTTGCTCATTTGGCTGCTATGTGGTGTGATTGCTCTTTTTGGCGCAATAAGCTACTGTGAATTGTGTACTATGATAACAAAATCAGGAGGCGAGTATCAGTATCTCTATGAGGCTTTCGGACCCATTCCGGCCTTCTTGTTTTGTTGGACTGCAGTCGTGGTTTTGCGACCAGCTACTGTTGCCGCAATTGCGTTGACGTTCTCTACATACTTGGGTTGGTAATTTTAACCGAATTTTTGCGCAGTAAAAGTTTGTACTAATTTCAATTTTTCATAGTGATAGAATAGTGTTTGAACAAAAATTATATAACGTGGTTTTGTTTTGGATTTCTCTTCTAATTGCGAGAGTCGACTGTTGTTATGTACCGTTTACTTAGCAACTGAGTAAATTGGCTAGCATTTAATGGCATTTTGCGGTAGCTGTATATGCCTTCGGAATCCGACGACATTTAGTTGTAGTATTGAAATATTTCCATGTTCCTACCATTTCATAAAGTGAAGGAAGGAACTATGCATAATTATGTGGTTTTTTTCCACCCGGTTGTGACTACCTCCAAGAATGATTTGAATTTCAGTTTAAAAAATCAAAAGTTTGTCTCAGTGTCTTGATAAATTGGTCCATATTGTGTTTGTCAGACCAACTTTCACGAAATATGTTCAATTTTGATGACGCACAGTTTACTTCTACTACAACTGTTTTTTTTTCAGATATGCTTATCTTACCTTTAGCTGGTTTAGCCTAATTTGATTGCTTTGTACTCAAAAGAAAAAATAACCAACAAGAAGAAAAGTAATTTTCTTCTTAACTTTGATTTTTCCCTTATTTTTAAATGTTTTTGACTTAATGATATTGCTAGATCATTCTGCAACCTGAACAGTAACCGCTTGTCCTTGTTACCCTTGCTATAGTCAAGGGCGTTGCAATTGGGTACTACAGTTGCGGGATATAGAAAATGAAACGAGGAAACTTGAATTTTCAAGCGATGGAATATGGACGTTTTTTCAATTTGCTGCCGTTTTTTCTGCCGTTACTAGAGATTCACGGTTGAGTTTTTGACATATGACAAATGAAACTGTTTTGAGAGTATAGCTGGATAAAAATCGTGAAAGTTTGTTTTCAAGGCGAATTCATTTAGTTAGAGGGCGTCAGAGAGGTGTTCTTAGTGCCAAAAAACCGTAAACAGCGGAAACCGTAAACAGAGTATTCTGATAAACAATTCATCCAACATATGTTATACTTTTAGCCGTGAATCTCTGGTAATTGTAGAGTACACAGCAGAAACGTGAAAAAACAGTTATTTTCATCGCCTGAAAACTAAAACTTGCTGTTTCTGTCCCGTGACTAGTTGAATTTCAAACGTGTTCACAGTCAAAGCTCTTCCCCTGGATGACTGTAACTTGGGAGAGTGGCCTTTGAAGCTGTTCGCAATAGCAGTCATCCTCACCATCGCATTCGTCAATGTCATGAGTTCCTCATGGGCCGCCAAGGTGCAGAACTTCTTCACTGGTGCCAAACTGCTAGCTATTGTGTTCATTGTCATCATTGGCTTCATCGAAATATTCTCCGGACATACTGACATTCTGGGTAAGTTGAATTGAAAAAAGTTTTTGGCAAACCAGCAAAATACCCAATATTTCTTACTAGTAGATATAACAAATTTGAAACTTCCCATTTTTCTGGTTCCAGTTGCATTTTGCTGGCGTTGGATAAGTTTGGGCAACCTTTTTTTGCTAGAGATAAAAATGAAACTAAAGTTCGCTGGAAATTCAAAAATTGAGTTTGACATAGATCCTCTTATAGTCTTATCACTGACTTGAAAAATTAATGCTAATGGCTTCCAACTAATTTTTTTTTACCAACTACTTTATTTTGCATTAAGCAATCTATCATCAGAATAGTAGCTGCTCGAATTTTTTAGCTACTGGATTCGAAGGCAGCGAGTACAACCCATTCAAGCTTGGAATTGCTTTCTACAGCGGCCTGTGGGCATACGACAGCTGGAACACCGCTACCTACATCACCGAAGAAATCAAGAACCCACAGAAAAACCTCCCGAGAGCTTTGTTGATTGGAATCCCTCTAGTCACCATTTGCTACCTTTTAACCAACATTGCATATTTCTCAGTGATCAGCAAAAGTGAGATCGTACACACCCAAGCAGTGGCTATTCTGCTAGGCGAAAAGACTATCCCGGAGTATTTCATTTGGGTGATCCCATTGGCTGTGTGCTTCTCGACCTTCGGCGCAACGAACGGATGCTTGTTTGCAGCTTCTCGACTCACCTTCGCAGCCGCGCGTGAAGGTCATCTGATGACTATTCTATCGTACTGCAACGTCACACGAAAAACACCCTCGGTCGCGATCTTTTTTCTAACCGGTCTTTCGTGTATCTACGTTCTACCCAGTGATTTCACAACTTTGGTCAACTATTTCAGTTTCTCTGCTTGGATCTTCTACGGTCTGACAGTCTTCAGTGTGCTCTTCATGCGGTTCACTCAGCCTGATAGACTTAGACCAATCAAGGTCCCGTTGATCATTCCGATAATCTTCGTTATCATTGCAGCGTATCTAGTCGTCGCGCCGATCATAAACAAACCAGAATGGCCCTACCTGTACGCAGCTATCTTCATCTTTTCGGGACTTCCAGTGTACTATCTGCCATTTGTTTATTTCAAGTTGCGTCAGCCGAAATTCTTGGAAAAGGTCATCACATTTCTGCAATATGTGCTCAATGTTTCTCCACCGGCAGACGCGACCGATGAGAATGAAATTGATGGAAATGCAGTGGAGATGGATGAGAAACCGAATGAGCAGGAAGCATAAAAATGCACTGCAATATATTTAAAAGAATTCTCCTCATTTTTATTTTTATCTACAATCTTCGTCTACTTTGCTTTGCTTATGATGGCTTTGAAAGATGATTGAATGTTTAGCAATGTTTTTGATATCGCGTTGTCGACCTCTTCTTTTGTATTATCCACAATGCTGAGCGCATTTTTGTAGTTTTGGTGTTATTGGTGGTTTATGAGTTTCTGTTATTCAGATATAAGATTTGTTTGAACCAGGACTATCTAAATTTTTAACGCATCTCTACAAGAAGTGCTTAGTGGTTTTCTTGCCACCTTTTCTAAAACTAATGTTTCTGTTAGCATCCATCTATTTGTGTGAGACTCCAGTTTGAGGGTAAATGTTATGAGTTCCAAAAGTAAAGGAGTTTTTTTCAAGTCGGAAGAGTGCGCCCATGTTGACCATGCGTCGTATTATTAATGCTACGTAAAAGTCATAGAACTTGCCGGCATGAAACAGTTAAAATAACGCATTTTCTTAATTGGTCGTAGTCGGACATGTGGTGTTTGCGTCTATTCATTGTTAAAACGAAACAAATGCTTTATGTTTTTTATAGAGGGTAATGTTAAACTGAAACCATCATTAGGAACAACGCTTTAGATCCTGTAAAATAAATGCAAGTCAGAATGCGTTATGGACGCAATGTTTTTTTTATATCGATCGCCATGTTAGAAATTCTTGTCAGCTAAGCTCTCTCAATTTTTTACCATAACTTTCTGAATCTGGAATACTGAAAAATTTTTCGATGACAAAAATTCAGACAAAATCGACTCAGTTCAACTTTAGACAGTACCGGCGTTTTTTTGCCTGAATGATTTCTGGAGCCTTTACGCTTCTAAGATGAGCGAACGGAAAGCAACAACCGTCTCCTGATTTGTTTTTCGTAAAATTGCCTCAATCATGCTTGAGAGCTACGCAAATTTGTTCTGAAAGGCTGTCCAAATGCGTTAGAGAAACTGAAATTAACTTAGAAGGTTATGAACTTCAGGACAAAATTAGAACTAAAGAGGGTTATGTTTTGCTTCACTTTGCCCTAAAGTTTTAACACGATCTTGGAATAAGATACCTCGCCTCGAAAAAATTCATCAGAAAAAAATTCATCGACAGAGTTACTGGGTGACACCCTTCGTCAACGTCAACATCCGCCACCGAAAAGCCGCGATAACTCAATACTAAGAAAAGTTTTACAAGCTGATCGTCAAGACAGCAATTGGGAAGATATTGGAGTCTAAGTTAGCAAGTTGGAGGTATTAAAGGTTGAGAGGAATTTTCCTCAAAAATTAGCTCTGAACTCAATGAAAAGTTTTCAAATTATTAAAAGTCATTCAGCCACAGTCAGCTTTTCAGAAAAGATTGTTGGGCGGCGCGACCATCTTAAGTTTGGTTAAGCCTTTCATGTTTCAATTACCAAAATTTGATGCCGAATCTAAACCTGGAACTGCTGTGCTTCGAAAAGTGATCGTTTAATTTACGATATAAAAACTGATGACGTCTACCGCGACTTAACGAAAACAAAGCCGAGTTCGATTTCAGTAATAACGATTAGGGCAGTTCCCTTGCAATACAATTAAAAGTTTGAGGACGAGTGACGGCAAGACGTTCAGAGAATTCATACACCTTAAACTGAACTTGGTGAGTGAAATTTCCTACTTAAGACCCCCTTCCACCGGTTTTATAAGAAAAAACCAACGCCACCACTATCTGGTCCCCACTTTATTACAATGAACTAGAGGCATGTAGCTGATTTATTCATTATTATACACTTGCATAAACGTTGAATTAACTGAAAGCTTTTGTATGCTTAGAACCTTGCTCTTTTCCAGATCATCATTACGTGTCTTTAAATGTTTTGGAGTCTTACAACATTGATCTTTGACGACAAAACAATAAATTTTTGGTTTCAACTCTCGCTTGCAAGTCAATTGGAAAAATATATTACATTTGTCTGTGTTTACGTAACGAACAAAATTTCAGCGGAAAACGGAGTGCACGGTGGTAATTAGTTCAATTTTTTAGGGACAAATTTGCTCACTGGGAAAGACAGAGATGAGAGCATACAATTACAATATAGTTTCAAACATTAATGGCATTAACTTTCTATGATTCGAGACGATTTCTTTTTTCGAATGGATATATTTAAGTAAAACCATCTTTACAAAATATACATTGGACCCCGAGTGGGCCAAAGCATACGATGACACTGATCATAGCTCACCCGAATTTTAATAACCGGTATCGGGATTTCTGCAGTGGGGCTCCTCAGAAAGAGAGCTACAAAAAGAAGCTTCTGAGCTTCGCCTATAATCAATCCTTACATTTTAAAGGAAGCTTCAGAAAAAAGACATTTTAAAACCTTGCATAGCAAACTAAATATAATTGAAAAAAATTTCGTAAATATTTACTATTCTTTTCAAAATTTTGGTTCAAGTTCGGTGTAGTTTCTCAATTTTACCAATAATAAACACTGATTTGGCATAAGTAGATTCAATCGATCAAGCTAGTTTAAAAAACCATTTAATATCAAACTTTTATTGGTTCCAATTTATTTCGGAAAGAACAGTTTATTTCGGTTTTGCAGTACGTGGGGACGTCCACATTGAGACCGACTCCTAATGATCCGGTACAGGATACAGTAGTAGTACTATTATACTTGTAAAAATTCGACCACCTTTAAAAAGCGTAAGAAGAAACAACATCAGCTGCAGTTTGTTATTGAATCTATCTAGGAATGAGTGAAAGCGATGGTTTAAAAGTTGATGGAACATATCACTGCATCAAATCCTATGGTGTGTCACCTAAAGCTCTGTGTCACTCTAAAAAAATGCGATTTAATTGAAATATTTAACTTTGTTTTCCCATTCTGGTATGTGCTTTGAGGTCTTTGTAAATTGATTTCTTTGTTCTTCTATTTCTGCCATGCTTCTTATAGCAATAGAATTGTCGCAAAAAATTTTTTTTACGCTGATGCAAATGACTACTGAATTGACTATCCAGAAAAGCCACTTTATACGAACATTAATGTTTGTTAGCTCCACGCATATGTTATTTTAAATTTGTTTTACAACTAGTGTTGTAGCCAGTTGAGCAAGTTTTTATCGTTGGCATTATAAAAAAAATGAAACTCAAACTGATTCAAGTGTTTTTTTTTTTTCAAATTCCGCCTTTCTTTTAAGCATTGTTAGTTTAAGATAATATTCACGGTCGCCATGTTTTCTCGCTAGTTTCGAATTGAATGATCTGTCGTGAAATTTAATTAAATTTATCGTCATCAAAGGAAAATCGAGTCAATCAAACACCCGCGTTCTATCAGATATGGATTAAACTGTGTTATGTTTACAAATGGAGCTAAGATAGTCAGTATCTTCTTCAGCTTCGCTGCGCTTTAGAATGAGATATTTATTACATTTACTGAGATCGAACTGGATTAGTGTGATAGTTTGGAACACATCTTAGTTAGCCGCTCTGCCATTGATCATAGGCGTTGATTTATAATTTAATTGCATACAAGTTGATTCATTTTTATTTGACATAATTTATTACGCTTTCTCTCAGATTCGACTGCTCTATTATATTAGTCATATTGGGGTTTCTTACGGTAAGGTGGGTGACTTGAATCACTAACTGGACATCTCAGCTCGACAGACTTTTAGATGTTAAGGTGTCATGTTACAGTGCGCGGGGATCAATTTTTTTTGCCAAGAATTTGAACTCATGGTTTTGCTTGATGTTGGGTCGCACGGGTTGGATCAATATTTTCTGGTGATTTTTAGATTGATCTAAATTTTATCTAAAAATTGGCTGACGATGCAGAAACTTTTTTTTGTCTCTTGTTTTTTGCAGACCCCCTGAAGCGCCACTGAAATAAAAGCCAATCTGAAGAAAAAACTTCTGCCAAATCTTGAAAGCAAGCTTTAACAGAAAATTGCTAGTGGTTGGGTGGATAGTCGAGTGAGGCAACGTAAGCATTTTCCTTTCAATTTTAACTATGAGGGCATCCCATCTTAGTTGAGCAACAAGCGCGCTTTACATAATTTTTTTATCTAATCCTTGTTTTTGGTGTCGCTTTCGAAATTTGGATTTATTGAACTACCTCCCCCCCCCCCCCTCTCATGTAGCATTCTGCCTGCGATTTTGATGTCTCTAATTCTACTTTATACTCGTCATTCACGTGAAGAGTTAAGATTCTAATTTTGCTTATGACTTGGGGTGTTAGGTTAAATGGATATCGGAAGGGAATTTTTGTTAATAAATGAGACGTCAATTTAAGCAAGAATAGTTAAACAATAATTTGATAGTTAAAGCTAATAGTAATTAAAATAATAATAATAAATTCGTTTACGAATCAGGCACAACAGAATTTATTTAATACAAATGCACAATTTTGGTAGGGCCGATTCGAATGGTGACCGTAAGGCTGCAAGCCTGGTTGCAGGTGCCATTTGAGATCAACTTGGAAGCTCAGAATCCATATTTTTTGTTTCTATCCGATTGAAACCTAAAATTTCGCATCAACTGTCCGTATTTGTTGATGTAGATCTAATTCAGAAAGACCAAGAAGTTTTATTCATGATTTTTTAATGAAACAAACTAGTTACTCGTCAAAAAAAGTTAACCCAGTTTTTACCAAAAAATTTTTGCACAGAAATCAGTATCATGTAGATAAAGGTCTCTGAGTTTATGAATAAAACTCTAATTTAGTGGCTGGTCATTGCGTTATCTTTGACAAAATCTCGTAGTCTAGTTTGCCAATCTTATTGAAAAGAAGTCTAAATCGCAAACTACTTTTTTTAACTTAAATTTATTTCTCACAGATCGAGTTTGTAATGTTCTAATCCGTGTGTCATTTAAAAGATGTTAATGATTTCATAACATCAAAAGAAATAAGTAAGCATCTTTACTTGCATGTTCTTTTCTTATTACTTTTGTTAGTTTTTTTAAGACTTCGTATGTATGTAGCTCATATATCGAATGAACTCTGTGTTTCGTCTCGTCGATCTTACTTAATCGAACTTTTTTCCTGTTGATTATTCTTATTAAAAAAAATATTGTTGTTTCTGTTGTTTATCTAGATATTTTTTTGAGGTGCATTCATAAATCAGTGGTCCATATTAATGAATTGGTTGTATGTAGCTTTTATACACTCTCATGAGTTGTTCACCCGATAACATATTTCTAATTTGGTAGGGAAACGAAATGAGTTTTGCGCATCTATTTTTCATATTTCGAGTGAAACTCAAGTTGCTATTAATTTGAATTCCTAAATATCTTACCTCGTTTTCTGTTTTTAAGACATTCCCTCAAAACTTTATCAATGGTGTTAATTTCTTTGAACTGAACAAAATTTTTTGGGTTTTGTCTTGGCTCATCGTTAATTTATTTGCTGCCATCCATGTTTCTATGTTATTCAAATCCAGATCATATTTTTCTTCCGAAATTTCGCCATATATATTAGTATCATCTGCAAAAAGAACCGCGTTATTTTTGGAATCTCGAAGAGATCGTTGATGTGAAGTAGAAATAGACGTGGACCCAGAATTTATCCCTGAGGAACCTCGCATTTTATTTTATGTTGAGTACTCTTTGTTTGATTTATTTGAACAAATTGGTAACGGTTCTTGATAAATGATTTAAGCATCGAAAATGTTTTTCCTCTCAACCCGTACATTGAGCATTTTCGAAGCAGGATTTCATGGTTCTCAGTATCAAAAGCCTTCGATAAATCAATGAGGGTGCAAAAACTATTTTTCTTATTTGACAAAAAGTTTTCAAACGTTTTCTACTTTGGTTTGATTAGTAGTCACTTAAGTACCCTCTCCCCGCCCTAAAAGACCATCTGAGTTTTCAGTGAAAATAAAATCTGTCCATCAATAACTGCTCTGGTAGTGCATCAACTTGCCATTCTTGTTCATACGAGCCCTGAAAAAATGGTAAAGAAACTGATAAAGAACTGTAGGATACGTTCTAAATTCCCTGCCTAAAAACAGGCAAAAGTGACAAAAGAAGAACGGAATTTCTTCACAAAACTCAGTTTGCGTGCCGTCTTTTTTAATGATTAATTTTGTGCGACTATCTTTGTCATGGTTCATCGTAAGTGTATACTGAGAAGGAAAACTAATGAGCATGAAAGATGTTTTTTTTCGGAAAAACATATCTGGGTCAAATTGCTCTTCTGCAGTCTTTTTCAGCATTAAAATTACAGTTTGATTTGTTGGCTATCTAAGTCTTCGACTATTTGAATTTGCATTCTTATATTGCTGTATTGATTAATCATTTTACTTTCAGAAAATGTGCAGCAAAACTTCAGCTTCAAACATGATTGTCTTTTTCTCGACTTACTGATCATCAAAGTGACATTGACTTACCATTTCGATTGTATCAAAACGTGTTCAAGTTTTCATTTTGTACGGGATTTAACTGAGAATTTAAAGTTATCAAGTACCAACTTTGAGTAAGTTGCAGTTTTTTTTGCGATCTGCAGTTATAGAGAAGCCCTTTACTGTTGCGATATTGGCGATTACTATTGCTGTCAAGTTATAGTGATTGACCGTAGCTGTGGAAAAAAGAAAGATATAAAATGGCATCAGGTCAAGGCAACGAAGTGAAACTGGAGCGAAGCGTCGGGTTGATCAGCGGAATCGGCTTGACTATGGGAACCATGATCGGATCGGGGATCTTCGCCTCAGCTCCCGGAGTCGTGCAGTACAGCGGCAGTGTGGGCATGAGTCTAATCGTGTGGTTCATCTCAGGTCTCATAGCTCTTCTCGGGGCTATTAGTTACTGTGAATTGTGCACTATGATCACAAAATCAGGAGGGGAGTATCAGTATCTGAATCAAGCGTACGGACCAATTCCTGCTTTCTTGTTCTCGTGGACCGCCGTTATCATCTTGAGGCCAGCACAAGCTGCGGCTATTTCTCTTACATTTGCATCGTATCTAGGTGAGTTTTTCTTTTTTATCATGATAATTTATTGTATTCAAATTCTATAACCTTGGGAGAGAACTTGTCACATTGATAACATTTAGTTACGACATTGAGATCGTCCGGTGGTAAGAAGCATCTCGTTTTCCTAAAATTCTTCCTTCGAACTAAATGTCTGTTCTATAAAGCATAATCTTACCACAAGGCATATAAAAAACATATTAAATCGCGAATCGTGCAATTTCTCGTTTTGATCGAGAGATTCACAGGTTTGATTTTTTTGCTTTTTTTAGTATAATCATTACAGTGCTATCCAGTTTGAGAGAGAACACCTATTTAAGAGAGAACGGTTATTATTGCACTTCATAGGTGCAATTTCAGTTATCTTAAGCTTGTCATAGCTGCAGCTAAGTGCAAAAGTCGAGCATCAGCAGTGGAAATTTAAGTGGAAAAGCAAGAGTTCTCTTGGTAATCTTCGATGCTTTAGTTCTGAAAAAAACTTTACAGAGCTATTACCTTTTTACAATCAACATATTTATCAGCAAAAACAAGAAAGGAAGCTGTATAACCCGCTTGAATAGGGCGGATTAGCGAATCTGCTCATTGGCGACGAGACCGTACGAAATAAGATTTGAGCTAATAAATCAAATTTTGGGATATTACTAACAATTCAAAATACATAAACCGGTGATATATTACAATAGGTGATAGGTTCAATTTGAATTGCTGGATCGCTTTTTGTTATACTTCGCACATTGTTTATGATTTGTTTCGAAAGCTAAGTTTTTTTGGCAAAAAAAATGTGTTTTCTCGCCGAAGCCTAAAACTTTTCAATAGCGGACCAACTCAGCTTGACGTAGCTGAGATTTTACTTTCTTTTTGATTCAACCAATCATATGACTTTATATCAGAGGGAGGGAACAGCTTATACCTGCTTCATTGTGTATACCAAGACATTGAAGTTGAACATCTTTTATTTAAGAAGAAAAGTCTTGCAAGTGTCAATATAACTTCAATAGGTTTTTGGCTTGTGCCTGCAGCGAGTATTCAATTCTAGAATTACAAAACAAGACCTCTAAAACGTTGTATTGCAATATTCACAATTTTTTTACTCGTTGAGTTTGTACAATGAGCCCCGATCCGGTCTCAATCTGTCTAAACCAGAGTCACAAGGCTCACCCAACTGCTGCTTCTTAATGTGGATCAATTTTACAAGCTGCTGTAAAAATTTCGATAATTCGATATAAAATTGCATTACATAAAAAGGGGATAAACCCCGCGTAGATTAAATCAAACATTTAAAACAATCTTTGTTGGTTTAAATCAGTTTTTTGGCGGTTTATTAATTTCCATTTCATTTTTCATTCCACTAAGTTGCTTATTGCAAGCAGCAAAGTGTAAATTTTGAATTTTTGAATAGCCTTTCATCTGGCAGTGTAATGCATTTACAAAAACTATCTTCGTAGTAGTATAATTGAATGAAAATGAAATGACTATTTTATGCATAATAGTTCTCAAATTTAATACATGCACTACACTCAAAATTACCACATATTGTAACGTATCACCCCTGAACCTTGTGATAAGCCCTGAATTTTGGTGAGGTATGGCAAGGTATTGCCCAAAAATTTGTCATCCCCAGTAGCGGATTTGAAGGAGGACGTTCCTGCTTGGGGACTCCCCCCATTTATAAAAAGGCTGCTTTTTGTACTATTTTTGGCATCAATTTTTGGTGGATCAGCCGTTGGGTTTTTTTGAGCACCTTCGACGCTAATATATACTTATTTTGAGGAGAGGGAGAGAGAGAGAGAGGGTGAGTTTCTTCTGTTTAGTGCGGGCAGTCACAGATGCGATGGGGGTGGAGGAGGGCTGTGACATGGTGTGGGCTGAGAAGTGCTTTGCCCTGGCGATCATTCTCATAGTGGCATTTGTGAATGTGATGAGTGCCAAGTGGGGAGCATATCTGCAGAACGTATGTCTGGCTGCCAAATTGTTTGCCATTGCCTTCATTGTGGTCATCGGCTTGATAGAGCTGGCAACTGGAACTACGGAACATCTCAGTGAGAAGATTCTTTTTAAAATAAAAAAATATCTGTCGAGGTTAATACCACTTATATGCGCTGCAATGGGGAATATCAGCTGAAAAACGTTCCGATGGAGACCTTTTAGTATTTGAACCCGTTTGATGTTATTTTGAAAGAAACATTATATCTTTCCATGAAAATTTCTCGTTAATTAAGCTCAACTTGGAAGCTTTCGTCTATTTTATTTAGCAAAACTTTTTAAAATCTTATATGTATCCCGCAAACAGAACAGGATACTTCTATGAAAGAGATGAAAGCATAAAATTTGTCGTGACTTAGGCAAGGGTTTCGAGAACAGTGAGACGAACCCATTCACGATCAGTCTGGCTTTCTACAATGCCCTGTGGGCCTATGACTGCTGGAACACTGCTGTCTACGGGGCCGAGGAGATGAAGGACCCTCAGAAGAACCTTCCCAGGGCTCTGTTGATCGGAATCCCTCTAGTCATGGTGTGCTACCTGCTAACTAATCTGGCTTACTTCACTGTGTTGAATACAAATGAACTGACCAGTTCTCTAGCTGTCGCTATTCTGCTTGGCAAGTGCATCATACAGACATTTTATTCGCAAAATTATTACTGACAAGTCTTTCTGTAGTTACCGACTTCGTTTTTGTTGAAATTATTACAGGAACAGGTCGTGTTATCAAAATAAATTTTGCCCGAAATTTGGGTTTTTCTTTTTCTAAATATTTTTTTAGGTTCCAATATTGCTTGCATTTCGGTGTGTCTGATTTGTGGTGTCATTTTAAAAAGTTTAGCTTTTACAGGTGAGAAGACGATTCCCAAGTGGATCCAGTGGATAATCCCAGTGTGCGTCTGTTTCTCAACCCTCGGAGCCACAAACGGAACAATGTTCGGAGCTGCACGACTCACGTTCGCCGCCGCCAGAGAGGGACACCTGATGACCACTCTCTCGTTCTGCGACGTCAACAAAAAGACACCCTCAACTGCTCTGTACTTTCTAACTTTCCTCTCTTGTGTCTATGTCATACCTGGTGATTTCTCCGCGCTGCTTAACTATTTTAGTTTCGCAGCCTGGCTCTTCTACGGTTTAACAGTGTTTGGAGTTATTCTAATGCGATTCACGCAGCCAGACGCGGAACGGCCGATCAAAGTGCCGATAGTCATCCCAGCTATATTTGTGCTCATTGCAGCGTACTTGGTTGTAGCGCCCCTAGTTAATAACTTCGAGTGGGCTTACGTTGGGGCCGCAGGGTTCATTCTGTTGGGTCTGGTTGTGTACTACCTACCTGTAGTGTACTGTGGATACAATTGCTCATTCATGACGCCGTTAGTGAAGTTTTTCCAGTATCTGTTCATGGTTGCGCCTTCTACGTACAACGAAGTCGAAGATAAGACGTTGGAATTAGATGATGGCAAAGGAAAATCGTCGGAAAAGCCCGAAGCAGAAGCCTAAGATACGCAAAAAAATGGTTTGGATCAAGTTTTACCAGTCATCAAGCAATTAGATAATCCTCTGATTGAAAAATGTTTGTAATCTTACAAAATAACTCATTTTCGTATAAGCTTTTGTTCATCTTGCAAAGCAAGTTTCGAGGCAGTAAAAATATAAATACTGATATAATTATTTGATAGTATATGGCCTAATGGTTTCATTGAGAGATTAAAATTGATTAGTAGGCATGTTTTGACTTGAATGGTTGATGTTACAAATTGTTCAGAAAGCCATCATTTTGGTTTTTGCTATGCCTGCACTGGTCACCAAGTGATCAGGTTATCAAAAAGTGCCTTTTTAAAATTGGTTGTTATCAGATGTTGCGAAACAAGCGAACATTCATTGTTCTACATTTTGAATCTATGAATAAATTATGAAAAGATATTGTTTAAAAAGTTAGATGTTCGCTTGTATATAAATATTTCAATTATAAACACTTGCGGTTATAAATATTTTTCAACAAATACTTGTGTTTGTCTTTGCTATGAATTCATTATTATTATGATTTGTTATTGACGCTGGAGTAAGTTTCGGTACTGCATAACTAACATTCAGTGTTGGAAAAGTAGTGTATTATTTCCAGAAAAAAATGGTTTGTAAGTTTTAAACGTGTTCAAAGCACCATATAGTCTCAAAACACTGTTTTAGAACTTAATAACAGTTTCAAACGGTAAAAACTGGAAGTACGAAAAAAAATACATTTCCTTTCGTTAAGCGCTCGTAGGCAGAAGGCTAGCTTCCCCATATTCTCCGGTGCTAGTCTATTGAGCAATTCTGAATGCGCAAAGCTCATCGAACTGTGCAACGAAGGTGCAATGCTGATCAGAGCCTTTATAAGATGCCTCCATAAGCTGTTAAACACCCCCTTGTTTAAAACTTGCCAGCATTCCTCGTCTGCTTCAACTTTGGATCTGCATAACATTAAATTCGTGTTAAATTCGGTAAATCTACGAATAGTCATATAGCGGTCTCAGGCGGAGTGGTACCTGCTGTTGAAGAGTTTCGATTAGTTCCCATTTTACATAGAGCTCATGGCCACGTGGCTCTTGGATGAGTGGTCCAGGGTGCAGTTTTGAAGTTTCTTCAAGGCTTGAATGTATTTTCTTGTATCTTGTTGCCATTTTAGCTTTCCTTTTTGCTGGTCTGGCCGAAGCGCAGGTTCGCTTGTGTGTTCATTGTTCCGACCACTCACTTTATTGACGGGAAGGAACTGGATTAGCTAGTGTTTATTTTCGCCCTAATTTTGGTACCTCAAGGAAAGCTCCCGGGGATCAAGAGTGGTGCCACATTAAAGCCTTATTGGTCGCTTATTCCAATTGCAAAAAAAGTTGTCACATTGTCGATAAAATGTCTGAAAGTTTCCAATTTTCTGACTAAATGGCTCAAAATTTACAATTGAATTGGTGAGAATACTTTGTAAATGAGCTCTCAAAATAATTTTACTGCGGATTGCTCATTAGTTAATCTATCATGTTGTCTCATGAAGGTAATTCAATAGCCCTGTACTAGAAAAAGGACAACAGGAAAATAAGTAATGCAGTTTGCATGTATTTGCGGTTGAGTAGAAGCATTATGTAAGCTGAATTGTGGATTGGTTCACAACATTAGGTAAACTGTGAATTATGTACCTCAATATTTTTTCAAAAGCTCTCAAAATTAGACTTTTGTGAACTCTCAAAATTAGACTTTCGAGGTAGAAATATTCAATTCGATTTTCTGCAATGTCTTGTAATGGTACATTTGACTTGTTTTTGAACACTTTAGTAGTAGATGCTAATGGAGTATTTTTGACTAATGGGTTCATTTAAATCCAAACACTGGGATCATTGGTTTTTGTTCCGACCATTCGAAAAATGAGGTACTACAAATAATCATCGGACTGGGATGAGTGATATATCATATTCAAGCCTTTTCAGTCGGGAGTCGAACTACACTAAAAAAGTATCAAAAAATTACCACTGTCGAGACAAACCGGTTAAAAATTTTATTTCTGGCTAAAAAATCTTTCGAAAAAATTTGAAATTTTTAGTGCATAAATTGAAAAAAAATTATCTTTTTTGTTTGCTTATTGCTTTGAAGACGGTTGTAGTATTTTGTGCCTAATTCGCTAAAATTATACGCTTTTGTATAGCTCTATTGTCACACGGCGTGCAAGAAAAGACACTAACTTCCCAGAAAAAACAAAATTCCCAGAATGTGGTCGGAACATTCTGTGCTACTTGCACAGCAACCAACTATACTTGTTTTTCTTTTTTTTTTGTTTTCCACGCAAAATCAGATAACACAAATAATTGTCGCAACAGGCCGAGTGATATACCAAATTGAAGCCCTTTCAGTCGTGGTTCGAACGACATTAAAAAAATTTCAAAAAGTTTGCAATACCCAGACGTTTTGAGCGAATAGAGCGAGCGAGCGAGCAAGCTTATTTATGCTCAATTTAAGCCCTGAAAACTTATTTTTAAGCAATTAAAATTAGTTTTTGGAGTTTGTAGTTCCCTTTTGTGAACCAAGAACTTCAAAACATTTCTGCAAAAAATTGATTTTTTGTTTTGCTAGTCATTTTTCTGCAAAAATTTCAGTCCAATTTGCTTATGGTCTTATGACCGTCGAATATGACTAAATTATAATTTTATGTCCGATTTTTTTTAGCTCATCACGAAGAACACATTAAAGGAATTTGAAAAAATATATAGTTTTTGTAGTTTTTTATAGAGTTTTGTTGGAACATTCTGTGCTACTTGTACAGTAACCGGCTATCCTTGTTATAAATGCGTTTGTCAATCTTAGTTCTAATTTTGCTTCAACGCGTGGCTAATTTCAAGTTTTTGTGGATGTATTTCTATATAAATTGCTCCGCTTCGCTTCTTTATAATGACTCTCTGAAAAAACTTTCATTTTTCATTTTTTATAAATTTAATTGACTCCTTGAGATAGTTTTTTATCTGCGATAATTATTCGGAAAAGTTTTGGGAATTTGAATTTTTTAACAGCTACTCGCATCTCAATTTTAAGGTAGACCACAAACGCTTTAAGGTAGATCACAAAGAGTAGTAATGCTTATTGAGTAGGATGACTTGGAGTGGAATGAAAATACGGCCAGAGAAATTGAAAATAAAAGTTATCGACCGATGTTACGAAATTAAAAACGTGAACAACCGGTGGAAGGCCAACAAACTGGAAATAAGATTACCATTCGATAATAAGGTTAGCCGAAATTTTATATTGTTATGCAACATAACAACAGAGTGACGCTGTTGTTATGTAATTTTGATGAAATTTTGGCTCCAAGATATGTTGGTTTGTTGAACATCCGTCGAGTATTTTAAAGGGTGCTTATTTGTGATGTTTTGTATGGTATTTGTTATTGATGGTTGATGCTTAATTTATTCTTGAAGGCGCAGAAGATTTGGCACATTTTCTCATTTAAAATGTTGACTCGCTGTCGAAAACTTTCTAACGAAAATTTATTTTTTGTGGTTTGAAAAGAGCGTAGTAAAAATGAATAAGATCGACCCTATAAATTTTTGACAAAACTGTGTTAATGTTATGTCAAAACTTAGCATGTCACGATACTATAATTAGTTTTCACTTATAATGTCAGAATTATGTTCGGTCAGCACAGTAAATTTTTTTTTTTTGAAAATTAGATTACCAATTACGCCCGCAAAATTCTTTTCTTGGTTCCTCAACAAAACGTTTTTAGTACAAGCATTTATTTTTATTATGGTTAAATTTTTATTACAAATGATCTGTGCTAACTAAAATTTCTCAAGTTAAAAAATTAGAAATCATACTGAGCTGACTAGACTGTAACAAACTATCTACCTGTTCGGTAGCTATTCTTACATAATTCAAATGATCCTAATTTAGATTAATTGACCGGGCAAAACCATTATTCGAACTCCAAAGGCAAACTTGATTGCAGGTAGTGATGCGGTGTTGATTCATTAGCTGTTTGTTAATGAGGTAGTTCCTGACCGTTGCATCTACCGGGTAACATATGGCTAAATAGCATGAGTTTTCGTAAACAACAGATCAATCTTGCAATGAACGGTTATTTTTCTCATACATAGGCAGATGATGTTAATTCTCGTTTAGCGTCTAATTTTTGATCCAAGTTCAAGACACTCGAATTGGTTATTAAAAGAAATCGCTGTTATTAAAAGAAATCGCAGGTACCGCTTGATCCAGACCGTACATGACTTGGTATCTTGCTACTGCACACGCGTGGATCGCATTGGTTGGTAAGGAATTGCGAAGGAGGGAAGGGGAGGGGAGTCGAAATATGGCGCCATACGGGGATGGTTATGGGGTTTGGAACTACAGGGTTCGTTTGTTGAGATTTTTACCACAACGTAGGCTCATGTCGCCATTTGGCACTGAATTTCAGATGAGCGGTAAGGTTAGTGCTGCAATATTACTTATATCAGACAGAAGACTAGGTTAGAGTAATAGAAATGCATCATCAGAGAATAAATGAACTCTTAAATATACAAATGAAATCTGAAATAGTTACATAAGAACACAAAACCAATTTATCAACAGGTTATTTCGAGGCTCGGGAGCATTTTAGCGCAATTTTATAAATTGGCCAGGAGGCAGGATGAGGCTAAGTGATTTTGGATTGGGAAGGGATGAAACGATCGTGGCTTGTCTTTTTGGGAAAAGCTGACTTTAGTTGATAGATGTTTGAGATCCAGATGTGAGAAATTACTGCCCAGTAGATTTACAATTTTTATATTCGGTTTACTGTTACTAAAGATCTTAGCGTCGGTTTTTTTGTTTTATGGTACGATAATTAATTCAGACAAAAAGTTCCAGCGAATTGAAAAGATAATTTGCGTCATTAATTTTTTATCAAATTTAGCCGTGATAATTGTTGCTTGTTTTTATCTCTCGTTAGTTTTTTTTTTAACTCGGCAGGCATATAAGTGATAAGCAAAAAGTCGAAAGTCAGACAAGCTCGGAACTACTCGGCTAATTTTTTCTGCTATTTCTTTTTTCATTGAAGGTTTCAGAAGTTTAAATTTCTCTTGTGCTTTTTTTCTAGAATTTGGAACTTTATGCGTCAATTTGATTGAATTTTAAGGCACTAAATGGTTTTGGAAGATTTTTTTGTGCAGGTATTTTCAGTCATCGCTTTGATGAAAAGTAGTTTTTAGTCTCTGGTTTTGTGGCCATGCTCAATGCACGCTGGATCGAGTGGCGCAATTCGTCTGTCGATTCTTCATCCGACGTAATATTTGTTTCTCGAACTTTAACCGACTGACTGAAGTTCACGGGCCGACGATTCATGCCGGATGAGGATTTCGGTTGGGATCCGGCCCCGTTTGCAGTTCCTGGATACCGTCTAAGGTCCTCGTGGGATCCATCGTCAGTCGCGCTTTCATCCGGAGGCTGAGCAGCTCGCCGAAAGCTTGTTCGTCGCGAGAGCGGTCGTCGCTCGTGAATGTCGCTTATTCCCATTTCCCGTTCGCGTCCCGAGTATGGCACATCTGAGCTTGAGTAGTAATCAGACTCATCGTCTGTGAATTTAGAAGACCTCGTCTTATTTGTCAATTCGTATCGATTTATAGCCATTGATTTTCTTCCACTGCTATGTACTGATCCTGCCAGGCTGGAGTTAGAGTTTTTGCTCAAGCTTTGTTCGCGTGTTCGAGAGCTTTTTGAGTTTAGAGACATTAAAGGTGAATTCACCTGCGAGGATTGCGCTCGATCTAAATTGTACAAACTCGACCTGCGTCGTAACGTTGCAATTGTTGATAGTGCGACATCATTACTTAATTGATATTGGTTGTTATTTGAGTTTGTTATGTTTGAGATTCCGGTATAACCCGGAGGCACTGTTTTCTGTCTCGAAAACGAACTTCGTCTTGAAGATGAAACCGATCTCTGACTCGATATTGAACTAGCACCACTATGTATTAAGCTATGGCCAGAAGAATTGTACTGCTTGCTGTCCAAAGCTGACATTACACTCGAAAAAGATCCCCGTCTTTCTCTTTCTGACCTACTCGATGTTGTCAATGCAGCAGCGCATGTGGATCTTCTGGAAGATCCTGAAACCCCTGTTTTGCATCCCGGTAACGACGAAGTTTCCATGGCACTGTTTTTTATTGCAGATGATGACATCGTCACGTTCCTAATCCCTCTAGGTTGGCGTCTCTGAGAAGTACCGGAACTCAAACTTGCTGACGTTGGGGTTCCAGAACCCATGCCGTGGTTTGAGTTCCTCAACGATGACCCGTCACTCCTCGGCGCCATGCACATATCCACCGGTTGCGTTGTTTGCAGCAAGTTTGACCTTGGATACATTGACGCATTCGGTTCTTCTTCCTCTTCCAAAACGCATCCCGAATCATTGCCTTCATATTTGTGCTTTGTCCTTCGCTTCACTATTCCTCGCTTGTTCACGATATCAGAGTCGGGTTCCATCACTCGCAACGAGTTCTCGAGACGTGGAAGCGCATTTCCTAATATGGAAACTTGTTCCGAGAAGTCGATAGTTTCGGCCTTGTAAATACTGACAAGGTTCGGGAAAATTTGAGTATAGGATGATACTGAAGTTGATTTCTGACTTGCCCGGCGTTTGTAAGAGCCTCGTCGGTCTGCGGCGTCTCCCCTAAAATTAAATCAATTTCATTTATTTTGAGAGGCGGTTGTGAATTAAGTGGACCGGAATCAAGAAACTCGTCTTTCGAAATCCCACCATGAGCAGCCGTGCTTATTGCTTACGGCGTTGAAACAGTTTTCATTTCAGCTCAGAACAAAGCAACACAGGCAGAAGTCGTTAGGGTATTTTTTAAAAGATACTGCGGGTATTTTAATGATAAGAGGGTAACTTGATTTTCATCAATGCTGGAAATTTTGTCCTAATTTTTTTCTAATCATATAACAACTAGAAACGTTTGTCACTGACCTTGGCCGTGTAAACATTGACTGCGTCTTAATTCCATTTGACTTGGCCGGCAATTGACTCACAGCTCCGCCTGCAGACGTCACAATGTTCTGGTTTGATGATGATGAAGATGACGAGGAGACTGTGTTGTTGTTGTTGGTGGTGTAGGCTCCGCTTAGTATGTTAGCTGGACTGTTTTCTGGTAGGTGTGTCACTGGTAGGTTGTAGCTCACATTCATCCACCAGTGGTGAGCTATGTCTTGAATTGTACCTCTCTGAGCTGGATTGGGTCGAAGCATGATTCCAATCAGGTCACGCGCAGCTGAAATTAATCCAGCTGTGAATTTCCCACAAATAGTTCTGAGTCCAGTATTCGAGAGAAAATTTCTCGTTTTTGTTACGACCACTTTACGAAGTTTGAAGGACCTGTGGCATAAGGTCTGTTTTTTTTTGCAGCCGATTTTGACGTAAAGTGCTTTGACGTAAAGTGCTTTGAGGTAATATGCTGCTTCATGTGAAAGCTTTTTCAGTCGTGATTAGGATTTTTTCTAATTCTGAAAAATATGTGTCAGTGTTGAAAAAAAGTGATATGTATTTTTCGTTGTTCACACTTATGTTTTCCAGATTTGAAATAGACAAAATTTTCAATCTTATTCTTGTGGAATTATTAAAGCATTTTATCTATTAACTGGTTCATATGGCTCATTAATTCATTCATTCGCATCTCACCAACTGAAAAATAAACAACGAAAGGCTCTAAAAAAGTTTCTAAAATATTTGTTATTCAAGTTCGCGTGGTCCAAACTGCGTGCTTCTTGCACTGTATCCAGCTACCCTTTTTAACGCAACAAAGAACGTTTAAAAATGAAATAAAATTTCCGTCTCTTATGATTTGAGTTTTATTTGTAAAAAAAAGGGGGTCTAAGAAGTTCAGTACTCTTAACTGACAACCTTTAAGAAATGAACAACGTCAAAAACAGTAGCAGATCTTTAAGCAGAACGTTTTCAGAATTCCATTTAACTTGCACTTATGCTGAGTTTTCTTGTTGTCCAAAGAAACCGGCTACCAATTTAATATAGCATAATAAACTCACACGTGCATCGTTGCTGTTGTGTATTTTGACAAAAAATACCAAACATAATTACATGCAAATTTTTTGCCAATTAGAAACTAAAGCATTTAGATTTGGTACTGAAAATTTCATCAATGTGTGACTCACTGGAGGGTTCGGGTGGCTCGGGGTACTCGGCCTTGATGATTTTGCGACATAGCTCGGCCAGGTAGTTTGTCCCATCAGGGGCTTCGAATGGCATCTTGCCATACACCAGAATGTAGAGAATTACTCCCAGGCTCCAGCAGTCAATCTGAAAGAAATTTGAATTCAGAGTTTTTAAGTCAGCTATTTTGGTTTTGTGACCTCAGCAGAAACTATAGCATTAAAAATTTATTAAGTCGTGCTTATCATTCAACATACGTCCGTCCTGGTCCAAAAACCGGCTCTTTTTTCTCCCACCATCCCCTACCTCTCACCCTCACCTGCAATTTTTTAAGAGAAACTTTTTTGTTCAAATTGTCCGATTGTTACAAAACTTGCGGACAGGCTATGGGAGATGTGGGAAGCCCAAAAACACTTTAGGAAAAGCTGTTGGGTTTGGTTTGTCGTTCAAAAATGAATAGCGTAAAGAATCACCAAAGGAATCCTCTTCGCACGCTACTGGCGGAGCAATTTCGGAACGATGAATTAAAAATGACCGAACAGTTTGTTTTCTGGAAAATGGTCTTAATGTTACCTCTGGTCCGTGGTAAGGTGTGCCAGTGACTATCTCTGGGGCTGCGTAGAGGGGACTCCCACAGAAAGTGGTCAGGTAGCCGTCGAAGGTGAAAGGACTGCTCAGCCCGAAATCAGCAATCTGGAACAATTTAGTCAGCATCAATAATATCAAATTTTTTCCCTCATTTAGACAGAGCATATAGCAATAGCTCTTCTCATAAAATTTCAGTTTTCAATAGTTTTAAATGTCGCGTTTAAATGGAAAAGCTGGTTAAAAAATAGTCACTTTTAATATTAAAGCGCCTAACTTTTTGAGCTTTTTGGTTCTCGCGTTTTCTTGAATTCGCCTACGCTGATTTAAAATTCTTACTTAAATAAGTTTTCAAAATTCAGTTGACTGAACTATCAAATAATGGTTTCATGAAAGGTTGTTCAATATATGAATTCCGAGCATTAAATTTTTTGCAATTGACTTATTTTATTTCAATCAAAAAATAAGATCAGTGGAAAAAAATTTTATGGTCGGAGTTAAATAAACGAAAAGAGTAGGAGCTACACTTACTTTGACATTGATATGTTCGTCCAAAAGTATGTTTTCCAGCTTCAAATCACGGTGTGCAATCAATTTCTAAACAAGCAATATTGTGAGCATAAGTGAAAGGAAAAATCAACTATCATTTAAATTTGAAAAAAAATAGATCGAATCAGATGAATTTGAATCTTTGATAAAAACTTGAATCAGTTTAAGCAAAAACAAAAAAAAATGAATGTAGGAAAATTGCAATTGGGGTTTAAAAGTCATGTTAATAAAATTTCGTCTATTTTTATTGTTTACTGAATAAATAAATTATTTAGGCAAGCAGAAAAGATTGAGTGTGTCGGTAGCAGCTATTGGCCCAAAGGAACAATTCACGGTATTTTTTGAAAAAGCTTAAACTCACAGAACATTAAATTTTGTCAAACAACTTTGTGGCTCTATAACATGTTTGTTATTGAGTTTGTCACCAACTAATGAAATAAAGATTGGTTGCAGTGCATTTATTAAATCATTCTTCTCTATCGTTTTCAATCGGGGGTTGCGAAATTAGCCGATAAGCAAATTAGACGGAGGCACTTTAAAGGAAATTAGACGATTTTGCAAAACTGCAATTGTGATAAAATAGACCGAATTGAGAGAAAATAAAATTGTTTGCAGACAAATTGCGTGAGAAAAATAAAATTATCATTACGAGGCCAAACTGTGGACTGGATAGGCGCACAATTTTGTGTCTGTATGTTCCTGGATTCCAGAGACAAGTCTTTAAATAGGTGAAAATTTTGTCGGAACGATCAATTGATAGTAAAGAACAAAAGAAGAAGAAAGGGAGCGTCCTTGTTGCGGAATCCGCCTGCAATGCACAAAATGCACAGTTTGGCCTCGTAATGATTTGCAGACAGTTAGTTTTCGGTGCCCAAAAAATTTAAATATCAATCATGCATAATTTATTCAATTCAAAACTCGCCTGTAATATTTGAATTTGTTATTTTATGTTCATTTAAAATAATTTTTTTGCTAGGTATTGTCATTTTGTTTTTTTTTGTATTTGTGAATCTTGAATCTTAAGAAAAGTTTTTTTTGGCCATTTCCTTTTCATAGCAGTGACGTCTCAAATGCCAGATCTTTAAAAAAAATTCTTCGTCTTATTTCGTTTTTGTAGCATCCGTCTAATTTGCTTATCGTCTAATTTCCTAGGCCCTTTTTCAATCAGTTCCTAATTTATTATGCTAATTTGATTTTTTCTGCGAATTTTTCTGTTTTTCTGAATGCTACGAATGGAAGTTTTTCAAACATATTTTGCATTGCGCAGACAAGCTACAGCTGCCTAACATGTGAAACAATAAAGGAGCTCGGTAAACTGAGTAAAATACTCAAACAGTAGGCTTTGATAGAAAAAAATTCGAATTTGCTTTTTCTAATTTTTGCAAATGTGTGCCTATCACATTCATTCGGTAGAACTTGCATAGCTACCAACTGCCCCTTTTGCCGTTGCTTGCTGTTTTTTCGTTTTAGTTGAATTGAACCACTACACTAGTCTATGAATAAGATAGAAATTGTTTAGTTTTTGCTGTAAACTTGTTTTTGGCCTGTTTCACAGTGAAATGCGCTCTTGAATCAAGTCTAAGGATTAGATGGTTTTTGCTTCATTTTTTTTTGTCTCAATCGAAGGGTCGGATGCTCCAGGTCCAAAATAATTCTTGCTTGTTGCTTGAGGGAGAAGCAACGTTACCCAGCTCAGAAAAATTGCCAAACTAATTGCTTGTAATTCCTAAGCAGCGATGCAACAGCAGTTCTTCGCAAAGAGCTGAACAGCTCGTATCTTGATCGTTTTCCTTGTAGATAAATTTTCTTATCTATTAGAAGTTTGCTTACGGGCCATCTAAACCACAGCGAAGTGACACTCTTCCCAAATTATGCAACCATGATAGACAGTGATTCAGAATCATCCATAAATGAACAGATTCAAGTTAAGTTGATGAAAGTAGATGAGTTGGGCAAAGCAAACAATTTGACTATTGTCACTGAAAGTTTTAAACTGATGGCTCAAAAATTCCTTAAAAACAAATTTTCAAAAAAGGAATACCCTTTAAGCTATTAATGATTTCAAATATTCAGGTCTAGTGATAGACAAGGAACTGAAGTCCAACGAGCATATCTATATCTTATGCTTCACAACAGGAAAATTCAATGTACTACAGTCGCGTTCGGAGCTACTTCTGGGGAAAATCTTTCCAGTTTTATATATCCTACTTGGTGCTTGTGTCTGCACTCGGTCTTTTAATCTGTAGATGCACATTCAGGGAAAATTAAAAAAAAAATACTGATAGCTCAAAAAATGTCCAATGTTATGAACCGATACAAAAATTTGATTTTTCCACTTTTCATGATTGATTATAAATTAAATTAAGTGCTATTTTTTTCATTGAGGTTGGGATTGATTTTTTTTGTGTTGGGATTTAATGGGTGGGATAAATTCAAATACTACAAAAATGATGTTTCAGTCTTCTTCAGTAGAATATTTTTCTATCACTTAATTTGAATTATTCCTTAAGCCATCAGCTTTCGAGTTTTAGAAAAGAAAGAGCATAGCTCATTGTATATCAAGAATTTTTAGCGGTTAGTTGAAAATTTTATAGTTTTTAATAAATTTATTGGACAACGTCCTAAATTTCTGAATTACTTCTGACCTTGAGATTGTGAAATGTAGTTGAAATTACCTTCGATAATTACACAAGCATAGCTTGTGTTATAGTGAACTTTCTGTTTTTCCAACCTAAGTCGAAAATACTGTTGCGACAAAATTTGTTCATTTTGAAAGTGTTCGTTTTGATCCAGCTATTAAGTACAGCCAATGCTAAGGATATTAACACAGACTATTAAATAACAAATAGGACTTTAGCTTCAAGGCATCATGGATCTGTAGCGTAGAAGTAGGGAAGAAGACCAGCAGCAAAATATGAGGGTTCGAACCTGGGCCGGCTCGGATGGTGTTAATGAAATTTTTCGTATACTAGTTTGAATGTGTCCGCTCTATAAATTGAGGCATGTTAGTAGGTAAATTTCTTTTTTTTTCAAATTGACTGGTACTGCTAATGCATCTTATTTGGCTTGTTGTGGTACTGCTTAATGCGTCTTCGCAATTATGTAGAGTCATAATTGGCGTGCGTCATTTATGTAATTTTGTAGACTCAAAGTTTTGCTCATTCAGTTTTTCCCAGTAGCGTTATCGGTCATATTTTTGCTTGTGTATGCGAAGTTCAACTTCGCCTCTGTGTTCAAAATTGCATTTGAACAGTCAAAAGAGCGAACCAAAATGATTGCGCGTTTTCAGAGGTCAGTTCTTTTTATATAACTGCAAGCCCTTAACTTCAGAACAGTTTTCATTTTTCATTCAGCAGCGATCTGACATTCAATTTTTCAATAGCAGAGAACACATAAAACACCGACAAAAAAGGCAAACGCGAAATTTCATAGATCTAATTCTAATAAATTTCAGTTTAAAGGTCAGATTTTCAGAAATTGAAAACTTCCGATAAATTTGTTAAAAGCTATATCAAAGATAAATGTGCACGTTTAAGCCGAATTTTTCTCCGCTTTTACTTAGGTTTTAGAGGTGATTCATGGTGGTTTCTAGAGCTCATATAATTACTCCTGTTAAATTATAAATTTTTTCTAATTTTGCTATTCAATTATATCATTTCAAATCAAAAGCGCGTTAGCGCGCCCAGTGGAGGGGAGCAAACTCCTCTTCCCCCCGTCAAAAAATAAGCAAAATTATTGATGTAGCGCGCTGAAAAAACGAAACTTTTTCTGCAAAATTCTCGAAAATGTCTTTTGTTGGGTTTCGGCAGAGATCGAGATGGCTGATCAAACAAAAACACCGTTGTTGATTCGCTCTTTGTTCTCCACAATTCGGCCCAGTAAACGCATTCATTTTTGCTCCAAATTGGATTCCATTACCCGTCTTTTTAAAAAATAAATTCTTTTTCTTATAAAAAAATAATGCATTTGCAAGGAAATTGAGGAAAAACCAAAATTCAGCCTCTAAGTTTGTTTATCTCAGCCACTTATCGTTTTACTCAGGAAATACTTAAAAATTTTGATTTCTCAATCTTTAAATAAGGTCTCGAAGAGATCAACCACTGCCTTTATGTTGTGTGTGTCGAGCTTGCGGTTGGAAGTTTCATCACAATTTTCTGTGATCAATTGTTGTCTGTTAGCAATCAGTGACCTAAGCAGCAGACACCATCTCCTGACTATTGACCGTAAACATCAGTCTTTTCTCCATTGCATACCCTAACCTAATTACTTATCAAAAGTGCTCTCTAAACTGAAAATGCCCTCTGAAAATTCTTCCTATTTCTTGAGGCAAAGTTTAGTCCCAGGAGTGATGGTTTAAATTGCAATGGTATCGTAATTTAGTAACCTCAAAGCCAAAATAAGTGATCAGAGCTTCTTTCATCAGATGAAGCACGTTTCCTTTTTTGTACATTACCATTTAAAGAAAAAACTGAAAGCCATAGCGCTGCAGTCGATATTTTCCCATTTTTTGGTTAATTTGTTTGTTTGGTAATGGTTTGCACCAGCTACTAAGGTGATTTCTTGATGAAAATACTCGCTACTGTTTTAGAAAAAGAAGACTAACTGTATGAAAAATATTTATTGTTCTTTGGGACTGGTTTCCATTTAACAGGCCCCGAAGATATTGATTGTTCATTTTATTAATCGTTTTGTAAAAAAAACCTAAAGATTTCGGGCCACACGTCTTTTTGCTGGTCGCAAAACGATAACGAGATTTTTTATCAGTCTTGTTCAAAGAAAGGAAATATCGATTGGAAAGATAATTCATAAGACGGTGGGGATTTCTTTGCTTTATGGCGCCGGTCGCTGAGACGCCTCCGGAATTGAATAGTCTCTGATTTTGGAAGTGGCACGCAAGCAGACAGATAACAATACTGCCTTTATTTGAAAGATCACTCTCTATCTGGAAAAATGAACTGTCATTTAACGAGATATGGCCAGGGTTGACTTCATGAAAGTTAGGTTTGCACATGCTTATTATCAAAAACACAGTCATGGGACTAGGAACT